TTGTGAATGGGAAAGCTTTTACCCAATCTTTCAGTCTTGCGTCGTTTATTTCTGTAGTTGGTTTTATTTTGTCAAGGAACATGTTTTTCAATACTAACATTTCATTTGGTACTGTCCATTTGAGTTTTCTTAAATATTCATCCCTTCTCGGTTCATTGTCTGCAAAGTAAGTTTTTATGACATTTTGTAAACTTTCGTTTGCAAGGTCATGTACAATAGGTTCTCTTCCTTCTCTCTCCCTAACTTTCTTTCTAAACTCTTCACCAAATATACCATCTTTATGGTTCTGTGTAGTTCTTGAGATAAATGTTCTAGAACGTCAGGTGTTATATTTCCATCAGCCATGTTCATTTCATACTGGTCCAAAATATCTGCATCTTCATATCTTTCAATGGCATTAAAGCCGCGCTTAAAATACCAGCTATGTCTCGTTCACCATTGACTTCCATTGCGTCTACAACTTCTTGGAATTGTGGTTGTAAGTTTATGAACCACCTATCTGGGTTAGCTTTATGACCCCATCTCATTGTAGTTCCATCGTTGCAGAAACAAAAGTAGGTTTGTTTCCATATTGGTTAGGTTCTGAATGAACTTTAAACAATGTTTCATTTCTATATGTTTTCTTGAAATTTAACCTTTTATTTTCACCGAGTTCATCCGAAGATTGAACGTTAAATGCTCGTAAGTAAAAGGGTTGTTGTATTTGTGTACATTTTCTTTCAGTACTTCCATTCTATGCTGAATATTTTCATCTGGTGTTGGAGTCTTTTGTATGTCGGCAAACATTTTTCGATATTCTTCTACTATGTCAGCCGAATTTTTTTTAGACTCTTGGAAATATTCCATATTCTCCGCATACTCTTGTTGAGGGTCAAGATTTTCGGCTGTTCCAAATCTTCATCTAGTTCTGTGAAGTTAGTTTCCAAAGGAAGGACTTGTTCGTTTCCTTCAGGCTCTTCTAGCTGTTGTTGCTGAACTATTTCTTCCATGTCTGGTTGTATCTGAACTTCTTCCTGTGGAGTTTCTTGTACCTCATCTGCTGGCATTTCATATATTCCGAGACCGTTTTCAACAATTTCCCTATCTACGTCATCCGCATTCATAAGCTTTTGTTCTTTCGTTCCGTCTCTATTTTTTACGCGTTTCATGACGAAAGTTGAATTGTCATTTAGCTCTGACATCAAATATCTCGGAGTAAATTCATCCATGTCATTTGGATGATATGCTATTAAATCATATCCCTTAGCGAGCTTGTATTTTCCAGGTTTGAGATTATATCCGTTTTGGTGCTGAGCCATAAAGCTAAATAGGTTCGGGTCAGTATTTCCATCCTTGAACTTTCCAATAGCTTCTTTATATCTGTCACTAAAGTCAATACTATCTGGGAAACCACACTCTTCTTTAAGCATTTTTAAGAATTCTTGGTTTCCTTGTTCTCTACTTCTTTTATGTCCTTGCTCTGTTTGTGGTTGTTGTTGTGCTGGATTTTGAACTGTTGGTTGCTGTGCTGGTTTTTGAACTGTTGGTTTTGGTTGTTGTTGTTGTGCTGGATTTTGAACTGTTGGTTGTTGTGTTGGTTTTGGTGCATGCCTGTGTCTGTGTCCATGTGACGATGTAAATGTTCTAGGTAGTCCTGGTGCAGGTGCTTCTCTTGGAGGGTTTGGTGGTATATAAATTCCACCAGCTGGCACATATGTTCCATCTGCAGCGTAATGTCCTACCTGACTTTTCGTTCTTAAGAAAGCATTTACTAGGTCTGTTTTGGTCTGTTGTAACTCTTTTTCTTGACTTTTCACAACAGTTGCTCTAACGGCGTCATAGGCACTTTGAACTGCCTGTCTCGTTGCTGCATCTGTTATTTTCGTCATATTTTGTGCTACTTCTTTTAACTCTTTGTCGAAACCTTCAGACTTCAGTTTCTTTCCAGATGAGAAGTCGTTCACTTGTTTCACCTTACTATGAAGAGCTTCGAAGGCGTTCTTAAAGTCAGCATTTGTTAAAGCTTCATTTGAACTGTCTTCATCCGCTTGTATTTTTGTCCTTATTGACCCTATGAGTTGGGCTGCTTTAGCGTTGGCTTGGGCATCTAACCAGTCATTGTTAGCTTTTATATATTCTGCGCTTTTCATTGCCTTTTGCATGGCTGCGTCGTTATTTTTACTTTCTTGTGCTAAGTTTTCATACTGTACGGTTTGGTTTTGCAACTGTAAAAGTTTTTCTGCCTTTACATTTGCTTCAACTTCTTTTTTATACTCATCGCTATCCATATATGTCTTCAGGGCTTTTTGTTTTATCTCTTCATCTTTCAGTATTTTATATTGAGTAGTATGGTTTTTCAAATTTATGACATCTTGTTCCATTTTTGCTACTTCTGTTGCTTTTTCTGACACTTTTTTCGCATATTCCTCTGTACTTAGTTCTTTCAGTTGTTCTTCTTTCTTCTTTTTCTCTACGTTTAACTCATTGAGTTTCTTTGTGTGTCTGTCATATTCTAGTTTCTTTTCGTTTTCACTTATTTGCTTCTGTATGTCTATGTTTGACTTTTTGACATCTGTTATTTGATTTTTGAGTGAACTCAAATTCATTTGACTTTGAGGGTTATAGGCTGTTCCGTCTGCAGCTCCACCATAGCCTGCCATTTTCGCTAAAAGTGCCGCTCTTAAACCTCCACTTTGTGCACCAATAACTCGGTTTAAAAGCATAGGGTTGCTTGACATTTGTTGCAACATAGTGGGGTCATTCATAATTTGTTGTTGCAACTGTTGTTGTGGTGTCAGTTTTACTATTGGATGTTTCAATGCTCTCTTCCTCTTATGTATATTCTTACGTAGCTTACGTGGCATTTTAAGTGAAGTTAAAAAGCGGTTTTTGACAGATGGAACACATACTTTTTCAGTAAGGACATATGAGGTGAGATGTCACCTGTTTTCTCACCTCATTTCTCACCTCTTGAATTTTCATGAATTTCTTCGTAAAGACTTTGTTAAGACTTCTTCGTAAAGACTTTGTTAAGACTTCTTCGTAAATGTTTTGTCAAGACTTCTTCGTAAAGACTTTGTTAAGACTTCTTCGTAAATGACCAAAAATAATGTTTAGGTGAAGAGGTGAGATGTCACCTGTTTTCTCACCTCATTTCTCACCTCTTGAATTTTCATGAATTTCTTCGTAAAGACTTTGTTAAGACTTCTTCGTAAAGACTTTGTTAAGACTTCTTCGTAAAGACTTTGTTAAGACTTCTTCGTAAAGACTTTGTTAAGACTTCTTCGTAAAGACTTTGTCAAGACTTCTTCGTAAATGTTTTGTCAAGACTTCTTCGTAAATGTTTTGTCAAGACTTCTTCGTAAATGTTTTGTCAAGACTTCTTCGTAAATGTTTTGTCAAGACTTCTTCGTAAAGACTTTGTTGAGATTTCTTCGTAAATGACCCTAGTAGTATATTTTTGGTGTAAATTTCATGAAAATTCAACGGGTGAGAAATGAGGTGAGAAAACAGGTGACATCTCACCTCTTCACCTAAACATTATTTTTGGTGTAAATTTCATGAAAATTCAACGGGTGAGAAATGAGGTGAGAAAACAGGTGACATCTCACCTCTTCACCTAAACATTATTTTTATTGAATTCTGTGTAAATTTCATGAAAATTCAACGGGTGAGAAATGAGGTGAGAAAACAGGTGACATCTCACCTCTTCACCTAAACATTATTTTTGGTCATTTACACTCATTACGAAGAAGTCTTGACAAAACATTTACGAAGAAGTCTTGACAAAACATTTACGAAGAAGTCTTGACAAAACATTTACGAAGAAGTCTTGACAAAACATTTACGAAGAAGTCTTGACAAAACATTTACGAAGAAGTCTTGACAAAACATTTACGAAGAAGTCTTGACAAAACATTTACGAAGAAGTCTTGACAAAACATTTACGAAGAAGTCTTGACAAAACATTTACGAAGAAGAAGTCTTGACAAAACATGAAAACATATATAATTTGTGAAAAGTGAAACATTATATAATGTTTTCGACCAAGAAGACTAACAATTTTCCGAATAAAAACTTCATTTATACTAAACATCTTCAGGGCTAGAGGGCACGAAGTGCCTGGAAGCCCCACTGCCTTTTTTTTTTTTTTTTTTTTTTTTTTTTATTATAAAAAAGAAAAAATAAAGCACGTTAAAATTTTTCTTTCTTGATTTTTTACAAAATCTACTTAGAATTATGCAAAATATGACTAAATAATTATAAATTTCAAGTTAAATTTTAATTTTGATAAATAATTTAAATTTCAAAATATCAAGTTCAGTTCGACTATGTATGTAGTAATTCCTCAATAAAGTGCCAAAACCCTATTAAAATATATGAACATTTTCAACATTTTAATGTTTTTATTTAAAAATTTGTTGGAATATGAGCTTCAAACAATTATTATGTAAATAAAAATAATTAAATATATGTATTTATTCGTATTACAACCGTAGTAAGTCGATTCTTCCTTTCTTCTACTGAGTTTTGAATTTGATTTCGAATTGTAAAGAGATTCAAAGGGAAAATACTAGCGGATAAAAACTACCTCCATGAAAGGGTCATAATGGACTCAAGTTGTATTTTTTGATATTTTTTGCTTTTCGAGCCTAAATAGGTAGCCAAGATAATGCCTAAAAATAAGGTTCTAAATTCTGAAGTTTACATGATCCTCTCGTGTGCACCCTTAAGGGTGCACTTACGCCCCTATGACAGGGCCTTCAATTCAGATGTTTAAGGTTAAATTTTAATGATGCTTCACGCCGGTTGTCAAAAATTTGAATTAAAGTCATATGGGCGTAAGTGCAGCCTTAAGAAATATTTAAATATCAACTAAAGCAAGTTTTGTGGAATTATTTTCATGTTGAAACAAGATTTTCTATTCATGTAATTAGTTTATATAATGTCTTTAGGTGCTCTCGTAGCAATGCCACTATTTTATTTTGAAAAAAGAAAGAATAGTATCTTATGTAAGAACATTATATTATTGCACCATGTGAAATAAGAAGTTCGGCTGTTTCTTTATAATTGTAACGTGATGCAATATGAAGAGAGGTTTTTCCATACTTATCTTTTTCATTGATATTTATACCATGTGAAATAAGAAGTTCGGCTGTTTCTTTATAATTGTAACGTGATGCAATATGAAGAGAGGTTTTTCCATCATTATCTTTTTCATTGATATTTATACCATGTGAAATAAGAAGCTCAGCTGTTTCTTTTCCATTATTTTCTGCTGCATAATGAAGAGCTGTTCTTTCATACTTATCTTTTTCATTGATATTTATACCATGTGAAATAAGAAGTTCGGCTGTTTCTTTATAATTGTAACCTGATGCAATATGAAGAGAGGTTTGTCCATCATTATCTTTTTCATTGATATTTATACCATGTGAAATAAGAAGTTCGGCTATTTCTTCATTATTATAATATGCTGCAATATGAAGAGCGGTGTCTCCATTATTATCTTTTTCATTGATATTTATACCATGTGAAATAAGAAGTTCGGCTGTTTCTTTACTATTATGTATTGCTGCATAATGAAGAGCAGTTTTTCCATTATTATCTTTTTCATTGATATTTATACCATGTGAAATAAGAAGTTCGGCTATTTCTTTACTATTATTTTCTGCTGCATAATGAAGAGCTGTTCTTTCATATTTATCTTTTTCATTGATATTTATACCATGTGAAATAAGAAGTTCGGCTATTTCTTTACTATTATTTTCTGCTGCATAATGAAGAGCTGTTCTTTCATATTTATCTTTTTCATTGATATTTATACCATGTGAAATAAGAAGTTCGGCTGTTTCTTTATAATTGTAAAGTGATGCAATATGAAGAGCGGTGTCTCCATACTTATCTTTTTCATTGATATTTATACCATGTGAAATAAGAAGTTCGGCTGTTTCTTTATAATTGTAACGTGATGCAATATGAAGAGAGGTTTTTCCATACTTATCTTTTCCATTGATATTTATACCATGTGAAATAAGAAGTTCGGCTGTTTCTTTACTATTATTTTCTGCTGCATGATGAAGAGCTATTCTTTCATATTCATCTTTTTCATTGATGTTTGCACCATTTGATAGGAAATATTCGCAAAGGGATAGAATATTGAACCTCGTCGAATAAATAAAGCATCCATTAATATCATTAGTTTGATCGAAATATACTAAAAATGATTCAAGATTATTATGCTGTGCACAATAATCCAAATCGATCTTGATATTGAATTCATTCATCAAGAATGTAACAAAATCAATGTTGTGTGAAATAATTGCGTATTTCATGCAATCTTTAGTTGGTTTGTGATATTTCAAACATTCACTCATGATTTCTTGATTTCCCCCTAAAAATGAAAATTGTAGACATGTTTGAGTTATTTCTGAACTAAATTTCGTCCTTAGGAATTTGAAACAATCAACCGCACTATGATAACAGCATAATTCAAGTAAACCTACTCTATTAATACAATAGAAAATGCTTTCAAGTTTTTGATCTTTATCAAATCCTTCTCTTTCCGTGAATGAGATAAATGTTTCTATGTTATTATACATAATTGCTCTGTAAATTGTATTTTCTGTATGAATATCCAGATTTTCTGAGTCAATTTTTTTGAAATCTTTGTATTTGTCTAATTTAATTCCATATTCTTTGTAAAACAAGAGCATAGAACTTGTTGGAATATTTTTGACCTCTTCCACATTATAATCATCAGAAATGAGTTTAGCAAGAGATAAATATGACTTTGTATAGCGATTTTTATACGGAATGATATTTAAAATGTCTTCCATAATCTTTTTTGGTGGGTATATCTTTGAGTCAATTAGTTCTATTTTGATCATTTTGTAAATATCTTTTAATTCTTCTTCTTTTTCCGTTTTCAGCTGATACAAAGCAATATATGAATCAATGTAGTGTTTGTGGATACTTCGCAGTTCACTGTATTTATTTGGATGAATGTCTTGGTTGGACATTAATAATTTTTTAAAGGGACATTATTTCATTTTAAAATATAAATATCTTTTAAATTCATTAGAAGAAACAAATATTATGTTAGACATGCGGAAATCAATGTTCACAAAGATTTCGGAAATAATTTATGAGCATTAATAAAGTTCATAGGGATTAAATGACACAATAACAATAGGATAGTCGAAAGGAATAAGATTTTCATCTAGATGTTTATATTCAAACAAAATTAATTAATTATATTTGAGATACCAATGAACCTGACAAGAATTCTAATGCTAATCTTCATCAGCTGTGCAAAATTTTAAAATTGAAACGCCATATTGTAGGTAAATCAAATCCCAGTCACAGATGTTGGTGTATATGCTTTTCGAAGCCACTGAAATCTTCGGTGTTTATATGTAAACCTAATTCTATTACTCTACTTATCTTAGATTGTTTTACTTGGAATCCAAAATTGCAAAGCGTTATATTATCATACATCTTTGGAATTTGATCGAGGTGTTTTATATAAATCACTAAAACTCCTATAAATCCGTTACCTGGTATAGGTATAACAATTTGGAAAATATAAAAATGTTTTTAGCATTATTATCGCTAAATTTTTAAGAATCTATCAGACAATATAAATGAACAATAGATTTAACATAAAATAAGATTAATCCAGAATTTTATTTTAATTATTTTAGATTGGATTCTTTTTTAATATGCATACTGTCTGTATTTTTTCATATGAAGATATTTACTGATAAAAATATTCATAATCCAACTTTTGATAAAATCAAGGAAATTTATCACAAAATCATTAAATAATTATTATATTATCTCATTTAATGACGAAAATGATAACTCAATGGCTTTACAGATATCATTATTTTTTAGAGTTTTTGGAATGATTGGAAGCAGGTGAACATATAATTTCGATATCAGACTCAGAATTTATTAACATTTCTGCATCAGGAACACCAATGCCATTTTCTCCAAATGTAATTTTGTCAACAAAACTAAGAATTACATGTTTTGGATAGCATATTCATCTGTAATTTTAACATTGGAAGACTGTATTTTCTTGAATACACTTTCCAAAATGGTGTTAGGCGGAGGCAAACTTATATGCAATAATTGCCAAAGCGATGTCTCATATCCAGGCTATAATGTTACAAATATTTCTGACAAAAACAAGATCATCGTTAGAATATCATATTGCAAATTACAATATTGCAAGTCAAACATTAAAAATTCACAATATGTGAATCAAAATACTATATATCTTTATTTGTTGATATTGATATGATCATAAATTTTTTATGTGATATTAAACTATTCATTACTCTCTGTTCACATCAAAATATTAGAGCATAAGATTGCAAATCACATTGAAATAATAAAATTTTCATATATCAATACTGCTCGAAGGAAGAAGTGTATGAATTTGAAGATGCAAACTAAGCACCATTAAATACTTGAGGATTATGGATTATTTTTAAACAAATTTGAAAATTTTGTGATGAATTAGTAATAATTTACAAAAAAATAAAAGATCTATATATAGTTTCAGATTTTCTTCTCTTGGTCGTTAGCGAGAGGTTCATCTTGGCCGCTAACCTTTTGATATTTCTGAGATGCAGAAAGAGTAAGGAAAGCGTAGAATGCTGTAGCTCCAGCAAGTGCAGAATTGAAGAATGCAACGAATTTGGAGAATGTACTGTCACTCTTTGAGATAATATCTAAGAAAGTTGCCAATCCAACACTTCCACTTGAAGGGAAGCCAACAACAAGGTAAACACACCATGCGATGAATAAGAAATGATAGACTGTCCATCTGAATGGAATGTCGCGTTTCTGACAAGCTGAATAAAGTCCATTGTAAATAAAGTTGATTGAAACGTAGGAACCGGCAAGTCCTTGAATGCATGCGAAGATGAAGTTTTGTATATGCTGGTAATCTTTGATTCTCACACAAAGAATAGCAAATAAATTATGAATAATGAAAATTGTGTATAAAATGAGGGTATAAAGGCATTTTTGAATGCAATCTCTGGATGACGGTGGCAAATCTGCTTGTGGATCATAGTGAACAAGTGGGAATATCGAAGGCCAATTTGGTGCATTTACGAAATCTTGAACTGTAGCTTGAATTTCTTTTTGTTTAGCAAGCAATTCTGCTTCACGTGCTTTTAATGCTTCCAATCTGGCCTTTTTGTCTAAAGGAAGGGTTGATGGATCAAATTTTGGAATTTCTGTAACATTTTCAACAACATTAGCCTTCATAGGCTGAATAGGTTGTGATTGTGGCTTATTTTCAAAATCTGGTAATTCGATATCGTCAGAGTTATCAATGAAAGGATTTTCTCCCATTTTCCAAAAATAAAAAAAAATTTTGGAGCGGAAATTTCAAAAAATTTCATCGGTTCGTTTTTTCTCAACATCTGCTAACACCAGGTCACAAACTAGAATTTTTTATCTTTTCAATAGGAAGCATTGAGAAATTAATTATTCATGATTCAATATGAGCATTCATCATATTTATAATAACCAATTCTTATTTGAGCTACAGGTAAAATGATTCATATTATAAAACATACATAGTTAGTTTAAATTTAAAATATAAATAACAAAATAGTAAAATATATTGGGTTCTATCATTCAGGTGGCCTTAAAAATGGATGTAAAAGAAGATCATCAAGCGTTGGCCTTGCAAGTGGATCGATTGATAACATATTCATGATCAAATCCTTCAAATCATGATCCATATCAATTCTATATAAAGGAATTTTAGTATTGATCTCATCATAATCTTTTTGACCGATATATTTCGGATTCAAAATTCCATTTTCAAATAATCTCTTAAACATTGGAATTGTGCAGTCATTAATCATTTTATCTGGAAAAGGACCTATTAGATGTTGAATCGCAAATAAAAATGAGCTAAGATCTGAATAAGCAAAATAAATCTTTCCAACGCACATTTCAAGAGCTAAACACCCAAGAGACCAAATATCAACCTCTCTTCCCCATGGTATACCAAGAATTGTCTCGGGTGCACGGTAATAAATCGTTGTTATTGTTCCACTCCCCCATTGATAATAATTATGAGTCGTTTCCATATCTATTAGCTTTACTTGCACGTATTTTGGCTGTGGTTTGCCTGTGTTAAGAAAAATATCGGATTCTGATACTCTAATATTTGGATCTATCAAAATATTCTCTAATTTGATATCTCCATGTAATTTCCCAGCATTTCTCAATAGAATTAACGCTTGTATTGTTTGAGTTAAAACTTGTCTAATCGTTTCTAAGCGCCAGCCTCTAAAATGATTGAATTTCATAACATCATATAGCGAAGGACCATATCTTTCTATTACAATGCAAGGATGTTCATCGAAATAGAACCATGCAAAAAAATCGCAAAAATGTTCATTAAAATCTTTCATTTTTTGCAGATTTTTATATAAAGCTATTGATTTCATGAAGTGTGTAGATGACATTTCGCTATTCCTAAAACACTTGATCGCAACTTCAGTGTTGTTCTTAATATTCACACAGCGATACACATTGGAGGATATACCTGGATGATATTCTGATACTACACGATACTCATTTGCTATTATATCTCCTTCTTTCAATTTAAGTCGATCGTTTTCAGTATCTTCTTCTTTTGTCATAAAATTTATGAAACGTCAAAAATTTTATCAATTAATTATATCGGTGCTTCTTCACTCATTTTCATATTTTTAATTAAATTATGATAATTCTTCATGTTTTCCCTAAAAAGCATTCATATATAGGATATCTTAAAAGTATGGGGGTTTTTAACGTGGAAAAAAGTTTTAGCGTGGAAAAAGCTTTATCAGCTGCTCCTAAGATTCTATGAAGAAAAAGCAAGTTCATACATAATCCTATAGTACTAGCCATTATAACCAATCAAGATCGAAGGTTAAAACTTATGTTATAAATATGAATATTTTTAAAATTTGGCAGTTCTGAGACAATTCTGGGGTTAGAACGCATTAAAATAAATATTCTATCATAATCCCAGTATCATCTCTTCAAAATCGAAGCTAGAAAAATTATTTATCCAAATGCTTGCAATCTATTACAAATTGATTTTATTATATCTCTGTTATACATAAACATATTTTAAACAATTACCTTGTTCTAACACAATAATTTTTAGATAATTCTTATGAATTAGGCTTATACTTATAATTTATTGAGATATTTCTATGGCACTTCAATCAAGATATAGATGGCAATATTAAATGCATAGTTTCTATTAAAGATTACACTTGATTTATTTGAAATTAATTTTTTGATTATTATGTTTTTGTATTTTAATAAAAGGGTTAACAAGAACTATATTACTTGAATCTATTTTCATCTAAAACATCAGAATTTTGAAAGATTAAATTTATACCATACTACAATAAGCATTGTAAGCACTAGCATATCAAACCTGTATATCTATGCATGTACATAATATTATATCTGATGTGATTTAATTCCTAGATGCATATATATTTTATTTGAAATCGAATACTTACAAGCATCCAGCTAAATCTAATATAGGACTATCTTTTAATTTATAAACAAAATTTAATTGTCGGCAACACTCTCCTGTATAATAAAGATACAATTAAAAATTATATATATTATTCAATCCAAGAACCATGAATCCCGAATAGCAATGTATAGTCAAACAAATATTTTTTCATAAACACAATTAGTATTATACTATCTTGATTTAAAATTATATTTTTGGCATTTGAAAAATGAATCATTTTGAAATATATAGATTTTGTTGCTTTTAATGGATGCATGATGCATTATATGATGATTATCAAGAAAATCTAAACTGTTTTATCGACAATTAATGGTAATGAAGAAAATCTGAAAAATAATTTAACATCAATAGGATATTTAATGAAACAATTATTAAACAAAATTAAACTTAAGAATTAAACTATATTTATCATATAAATATCTATGAAAATTTACTTTAATATGTTTCTAGATGCATCTCAATGAAAATCCACGCTAAAACACTCTAGCGTTATCTGCAAGTCCTACGAACAGGATCTCGGCGGATATAATATCAAATACATGTATGGATGCATATATATGAAATACTAATAAAATCGATGTTTATTAAAAAATATTATAATTTATTTCTTCTAAAGTTTTTATTTTATAGATTAATACATAATATCAATCTATATTGTATATCATTTTATCATTCAAAAGGAATAATAATATCAAATTAAAATTAGATCATTGTTTTTCTGAGCAAGAATGTCAAACATTGAAAATAATGTTTATTTATTTCAATTATAAAATAATTATACGATAAATATTCCCATTTATGCATTCTATTTTCTGCATTTAAGAAGATCACAACATATTTGACTAACATTAATAGTTTAGTGTAATAAATCTATACAAGTTCTGAGTATTTGTGATTCACACACTTTTTCATGTAAATTGCAGACTATTACAAAGAATCTTATTATAATGTATTAACTTTTGAGATATTGTGATGAAATATTTATATATTTCAATCATAATTAGGTATGACATGATATTTGTCATATAAATATCTATGAAAATTTACTTTAATATGTTTCTAGATGCATCTCAATGAAAATCCACGCTAAAACACTCTAGCGTTATCTGCAAGTCCTACGAACAGGATCTCGGCGGATATAATATCACATGCATGTGTAGATATATATTTAAGCAAATTTAACATAACTCACTATGTATCAATTATAAAAATATATTATCAATCATAAAAACTATATTACCTAATTTATCATATCGTTTATTAACATTGACATTATATATCAATATTTTGATATAATATCATTTTAATCAAAAAAATAAATTTAAATACATTGTCAGCTAAGACTTTTGATTGAAGAAATAATAAATACATTATTATGTAAAAATTGATATTATAATAAAATAAGAAGTTTGATGAAAAATTTAATCATAATTTTTAATAAACATCAATTTTATTAGTATTTCATATATATGCATCCATACATGTATTTGATATTATATCCGCCGAGATCCTGTTCGTAGGACTTGCAGATAACGCTAGAGTGTTTTAGCGTGGATTTTCATTGAGATGCATCTAGAAACATATTAAAGTAAATTTTCATAGATATTTATATGACAAATATCATGTCATACCTAATTATGATTGAAATATATAAATATTTCATCACAATATCTCAAAAGTTAATACATTATAATAAGATTCTTTGTAATAGTCTGCAATTTACATGAAAAAGTGTGTGAATCACAAATACTCAGAACTTGTATAGATTTATTACACTAAACTATTAATGTTAGTCAAATATGTTGTGATCTTCTTAAATGCAGAAAATAGAATGCATAAATGGGAATATTTATCGTATAATTATTTTATAATTGAAATAAATAAACATTATTTTCAATGTTTGACATTCTTGCTCAGAAAAACAATGATCTAATTTTAATTTGATATTATTATTCCTTTTGAATGATAAAATGATATACAATATAGATTGATATTATGTATTAATCTATAAAATAAAAACTTTAGAAGAAATAAATTATAATATTTTTTAATAAACATCGATTTTATTAGTATTTCATATATATGCATCCATACATGTATTTGATATTATATCCGCCGAGATCCTGTTCGTAGGACTTGCAGATAACGCTAGAGTGTTTTAGCGTGGATTTTCATTGAGATGCAACTTGGAAAAAATTGAAAATCTGGATTTGAACCTTCGACCTCTACGGTCAAAAAACGGTTTCACGTTAAAACAAAATCCACGTTAAAAACCCCCCATACTGTCTTAAGATAGTCTCTCCTTTAATCGGGGTCTAAAAATGATCAAAAATGGGGAAAAGTCAGCTTTTGTCAAAAAATTTAGGAGTAGAAAAATCATGGATACATTAGATTTTCATGTTTCGATATCAGAATTCTGCCAATCAATCAAAGGATTAACAGTAACGGCCGAGGAATGCACCCAAATTATAAAAACTGCTTTAGAGCATTATCAGAATAATGCTTTACTTATCCTCTCATATCTAAATGTCTCAAATTTAACCTTACAATCGTTAAATTCGATATTTATGTTGTTTTCTTCGAATTTTTTAAAAAATTCTTCATCAATTATCGAAAATGCAATTCAGAAAATATCACAACTATCTAATTCTGTTGAAACACTCAATTATATCATAGACAAAACAATAGTTCCAGACCAAGCATTTCTCAATTCTCTCAAGAAAAATGATTATCAAATTTCGGATTTTTTACTAGAAAAATATCCAGATCTTTTAGAAAAAAAGGATGAAAATGATTACACCCCACTAATTCTTGCATCTGAAAATGGTAATATTAATACGATAAAATATCTCCTTAAAAAATCTGCAAATGTCCATGCCAAGAATTGCTATCAATCTACGGCCCTTCATAGAGCTTGTGCAAATGGATATGTTGAAATAATTGATTTATTGTACCAAAATGGAGCAAATATTGAAGAAACTGATGACGATGCACTTAGACCATTACATTACTGCATATTGAGGGATAATGATGAAGCACTTCGTAAAATCTTGGAATTAAAGGCGGATCCATTAGCTAAAAATAAAAGAGGTGAAACTCCAGCTCAAATGGCCGCCAGATGTAAATCTTTACGATGCTTAGAAATTCTAAATTCTCTTCCTCAATTAAAAATTTCAGAATAGCTAACTGATATCTGTTTTTGTAAAAAGGCTAGTCCTTTAGTTAGTGATGGTGAAAAGGTTTTCTAATGCAAATTTCTATATCATAAAGATCTAATATTTTTGTTAATAGTTAAATCAAAATAAACTTAATAATTTACATAAAAATCAGCCGAATATTTTGGGTCAATATGATGATTGGGTAATTACCTTCCTTTAGAATCTATTATATTTTTTTTTTATTATTATTTCGAAATTTATTCTGAATTCTTTTAATTCAATTGAATAATAATAGCATGTTGTCAGCTTCTCAAATGGGATGTTCAATAAACTCCATGAGAACAAAAGTATTTCAATATGAATAATAGCAAAATCTTGAAAAAATCGTAAATGTTTGAATGGAAGTCGATTTCATTTTTAGAACTTGAATTTGTTTAGATATGGATGCCCTCATTCTTAAATAAACATGATACTGTCATTCCTCGCTATCTGCACATTTAATTGATATTTTGTTATGTTTTGCCATACTTGGAGATTTTATTAACAACTACAACTTAATTTTCTTTATTCCTTTTCTATGCATATTCACACTGGTAAACAGTTAATCCGATATAGTTCTAGTTAAAGATATAAAAGAAATACATTATTTCAAAAAAGCTCTATTTTATATATTACAACAATCAAACAAAATTATGAATTTTTTCTAAGAGATCTTTTGCAAGAGTGCAAACAAGATCACTTCCTTCTATCTCGTGTCCTTCAAGTATTTCTATTATTTCTTCAGTTGAAAATTCATCAACAAGATTGGAAAGGAATTGAGGTCGTCCTTCTGGAGAAACTACAGCTTCATTCCACACGGAACCAACTGTATTCAATATTGTCGCAATTACTTCATCATTTGTTGATGAAAGGAACTGAGAAACGTATTCTAAGAAGTTTGTTTGTTCAATTAACTCGTAAATCTCATTATCATATAAGCAAAGCTCCATGCACTTCATGATGAAACTAACCGCTGAACATTTGATCGCAAAAGAACCTTTTTTGAAAATTTTTCTAATTCTTTCCGAAAAATCTCCATTTAGAAAGTTTCTAACATGAAGCTGTGAGTATTTAACGAGATCTGTTGATAATTGAAGGACTTCTATCGACATGTCACCAATTTCTAGGAAATGCAAAATTAATTTCGAAATTTCCCATTGAATTAAAGCCATTGCTATCTCATCATTTCTATTCGCTAGAACTGAGAATAGAGTTATCATTTTAACCTTGACTTCAAGAAAAAACATAAAGTTATGTATTAAGACTTGAATTAAATCACTTTCCATCAAACGCTGAAGGGGAAGTTCCTTTTTCGTCAAGATAAAAAATAAAAATGTGTATTCTTCATAGGGGAACTGATTCAATATAGTATTAGTTAAGTTCAGGAGTAGATCATCTGGTATATCTAGATAGTTTGTAAATGGTATTAATGCAATCATTATATTTTTGGTAACTTCACCTATACTCGGATCATTATGCTCTTGGTATAAAGTGGAAAACTCTGAATATAGATTGTAAAGAATTGGTCCAACATCTCTATTTGAAAGAATTTCGAATGTATCTGGATTTCTTGTGGCAAGGAGATAAATTATATTGCATGCAGTGGGGAGTGGCAGTTTTTGTATAAGAATTGATACTAAATCTAAGGATATCAAATCTGCTGTATATTGTTCTGAGAATTTCATTATTTGATATAAAGCTTTCAATATAAAGTTGGTGTACTTCATATCGTCAGTCTGCAATAAATCGAAAATTGATCTTACGATAAATGGTGGAATTTCTTCAATAAAATCTGGGTTTATCGAAAGAATAACTGAAATATCATTTAATGCTGTTTTAGACATAAACTCACTTTCATTAGTTACTGCTTCAAATGCTTCATGTAATAGATTTAAATGCATTTCTCTCTTCTGCAATGCATTTTTATGCATTAAATAAGTGTTACTGGTTTGATTGTATGATTCTTTTTCAAAGAATAATGTATTTTGTATCACTGTCTCATCTTTGTCCAAATCCATTTGAATTGTGGAACAAAGACTTAATAAATAATAAGTGAATTTTATTGGAATAAAATAACATATTGATATGAACTAAAGTTTCAATAGTGTTTCCAAAGAAGGACTTCAAATATACTTATCCAAATATGATTGACATCTTCTATCAATGAATCAACTCTCTTCAAAAAGCAAATCATGTTTGTATAATTGGATAAGAAAATAAATATGATAAAAACGAAATGAAAAATTATACACAAACAATTTATAAACAAACAAAAAAGAAATAAATATTAATCACTTTTTCCCTCTAATGGAATCAAAGAATGGGTGTTCTAAAGCTTCATGGGCAGTTATCCTTTCATTATGATCAACAGTTAACAATTTTTGAATTAAATCGAAGGCATTTTCGTCTTTCTTCGCCTGCCTGCACATTGAAAAGTACCAATTCCAATTAGCTTTCTGATTTGAAGGGAAAAGTGCCATTGCACCTTCTGGAACTGAAAGACCGTACTTTTCGACATAGTTAATAATGGAATCCATTCCACATAACCCTGCAACAGATGCAATCATCTCGTCTACTGTTTTGCCTTCAAAGAATGGATATTTAAATAAGAGTTCGGCAAAAACGCATCCAGCACCCCAAACATCAATTCCATAATCATAATATTGATAGTTAAGGAGTAATTCTGGAGCTTTGTAACGTAATGTTGAAACTCTGCAAGAATATTGTTGGTGAGCTAAATAATAGTCTGATAAGCCCCAATCTATGATGCATATTTGAGCTTTGTTCTGATGAACGAGTATATTTCCTGGTTTAATATCTCGATGCATAATTCCTTTGCTATGGCAGCAATCTAATGATTGGAGTAAAGAGTACATTATATTTCTAATATCATTCATTGAAATAACTGGACCAAGCGATTTAAATGCAACATTGTCAAAATATTCTGTAACAATAGAAATTGTTCGGCTTTGCTCGTCTTTAATTGCATCAGTAAATCCTACAACATTTGGTACTGAGGAAACTTTTTTCAATATTGCAATTTCTCGATATACTTTATATAAAGGTATTGATTTTAATATTTTAATAGCAACCTTTGTCTTGCCATTCATACAACCAAGGAAAACAACTGAATATTTACCGCTTCCAAGTGGTTTGATGAGTTCGTAATTATCTGGTGTAGAAAATTTGAAATCTGATGATTCGTCTGTCTCTTTCTGTATTTCTTCTGGAGTATTGACATCTGCATATATTCGAGAAACGGTGATAATTCGATACTTCGGTCCCTCTGGCTTCATGGTAATATTTTGATTCATCGCTATTATTTTTTTATATTGTAATGTTTAATAACATTATTACCTACCTATTAGATATCGAATAATTTTTGCATTTCGATCAGATTCCCAATTTTTGGTTTGGAAACAATTCGACCAATTGAAATATCAAAGACGTTAGTGTAATTGAACACTTACATCATCAAAGATCAATTTTTAGGGAAAGTGATGAGAAATTTCGATGAAATGAAGATAAATTTTATATCAAATTATAGATATACAACTGACTAATAAATAATTAAAAAGATATAACTCAAAATTGTTTAGTTCGATAGTAGATAGTAAAAAAAATTCAAGATATTTTACAAAATTATTTGCGGTTCTTAAAAGGATCCTCTGGGATTTGGCAAGTAAACAAAATCGGATCTGTAGTTTTGATTAAAACTGAATTGCCTGTCATCTTATTGGAAACAGAGATGTGTTTTCCAAGTTCGAGAGGTCCGTTAAGATTAATCTTTAATCCTGATGTTCTTATGTTTCTTACTGGATTTACAAGTGGAAGAAGGCTGCATTTTCCGGTTGTCCACGTTGGAGGTATTTCAATTCCTTTCATTCCTGGTTTAATCCATGTCATAATGTTAGTATTATCGAGTAAGAATATTGGAGCCTTCTCTGCCCATAGAGCTGCATTAAGAACACCTGCTGTATGATCAAATCTTCCACCGTATCCGCCCATAACAATAATAGGATCTAATATCTTGCGCTCTATAATCAGATTGATGGTTTTCTGGACATCGCAGTAATCTTGGTTTTCTGTATGAATGAATTTCGAGCCTCTTGATTCCATTATTTTGCGAATATCCGGTTTAACACTATCGAAGTCTCCGCCTACAAAGTCAGGAACCTTGTAATTATTGATATTCTTCTCTAAGAAGTATTTATGGATTCTATTTACGCCGCCATCAGCAGCAACGCGAGTTTTTGCTTGGTCCCACATCTTATCGAAGAAACGTGGAAATGTGAAATTCAAAGCAAGAGCTGTATATGGCTTATTAGGTGTAAATGGGTATCTGAGCATTTTTGTAAAATGAAATTACTGATCGAAATTATAACCGATATAATGCTCTGACGCAAATGAATGAGAGCTATGATTTAATTTCAAATGGGTCAGTGCACACTATTGAATATTGTAAACAGTTCTCAATTTTCAATCCGCAAGTTCTCCAAATTTTAGAATTGTAAAGTTTTATTTTTATAATTTCTCTTTATAATTCAATATATATGGTCTCTTTATTGATCGTTGAATAATCTAATGTGTCAAAAATGAAATGTCTGTTTGAATTCATGTCGAATTTGAATAAGCAATATAGAATCCATAATTATGAGATATGCATGCCATTTATTTGGAACTCATTCGCTTACTCTTTCACCAACAAAAATTCCAACAGAATTGTGTATTATATGACAGTATTATTGGTTATCTATATATTTGGATGTTATTTTGACTCCGATTAATAGAAAGTTAATTTGGATATTGCATTGCTTGTATAGAGTGAGAGAATTTGAAAATCACAATCCATAAATCAAACTTTATTAAGGCTGCACTTATGCCCATCTGCCTTTAATTCAAAATTTTGATAACCGGCGTGAAGCGCCTTTGAAAATTAACCTTAATCACTTGAATTGAAAGCCACGTCATAGTGGCGTAAGTGCACCCTTAAATGATAAGAAAGGAATTTCACATTAACTTCCTGGAACATCCAAATATAGGCTAAAAAGCAATTGCCAGCTTATCCTTCATAGTGCTGTTAAAACCGAATGGAATACACATCAATTGCTCCATGTGAAAGAAGAATTCCAATGATTTCTTTACTGTTTTCATCTACATAAATATGAAGAGCTGTTCTTCCATATTCATCTTTTTTCATTGACATTTGCACCATGTGAGAGAAGAAGTTTTACTATTTCTTTACTATTATTACTTGCTGCAATATGAAGAGCAGTTCTTCCATCTAAATCTTTTTTATTGGTATTTGCTCCATGTGAAAGAAGAAGCCCAACTATTTTTTTTTCTTATGTAAAATACTGCAATATCTAGAGCTGTTTTTGCGTTATAATCTTTTTCATTAACATTTGCATCATGTGAAAGAAGAAGATCGATTATCTTTTTACAATTGTTTCTTACTGCTATTTGAACAGTTGTTTCCACATGATCATTTGTTTCATTGATATTTGCGCCAAGTGAAAGGAAATAATCGCAAAGTGATGGAATATTAAAATTTATTAAAAACTAAAAATGATTCAAGATTTTTATATAAGTTTGTTTTTAATAGGGAGTGATATATATTGTTCCATTATAATGAACGAATTAAATATAAATTGTAATTAAGTTGGACAGGATGATATCAATTAAAATTTAATTTGCTTCGGTTAAATTGGCTCTTTGATATCAAATTATCTAGAAAAAAAAGAAAAATTGATAAATTAAAAGAAAATAAAAACAATCTATTTTATTATTGACCTTTAAGCACTTCTGAAAACTTAGTAAATGCATTCAGTAGTATTTCTATTAATTGTGCATGCTCATTTGAATAACTAGAAAAAGAATCAAAATATTCTTCATAATCTTGAATTAAAGAAAGAAAATGGTCAATATAATCTATATTATTATGTTGAGCTGCATACATTACTGAACTTAAAATGAATCTAATGAATTGGAGACTGAATTCATTTGGTTCTTTGAATGAATGAGTGAAATAAAGGTCCAAAAAGTCTTTATATTGTATAATTGTCTCCATTTCAAAATAGCAAAAACCAAAAAGGATCGGATTTGCATTTTTAAAAGGATAATTCTCATTATTTTCAATAAAGTACTGTATTAATACATTCTTCTGTTCATCTGTAAACTTGTTGGAGTGTATTGACATAATCTTACCTAAAACTAACGAAATAGAAATATCATTTTCTAAATTTTTGAAAAATTCAAAAAATTCATCAAAACTAATCAAAAGATCGTAATTTGATAATGAAGATAAGTGCAAGAGGTACTTAATGTACTGCTCTCGCTTCTCAGTTATCTCTGGAATTTCAAAAACTAAATTATATTTCGAAAATCTAAAAGCTAATATAAATCCGAGGCTGTATGCATCTTTGTCATTCAATAGAAACTGTATATAATCGTGAATATTAGCAAGAACTGGTTGATAAAGATCTTCTGGTATATTTGCAACTGAATCGAAGAAATCAAGATATTCTGTAGCTAATTTGTGGTTGTATATTTCATTTTGTATGTAGTTTGTTGAAAAATATTCAATTAAATTTTTGATAATTGTTTCATCAAGAAATTGTATCGATTTTGATGGGAATTTAGAAATTAGGGAATAAAATATAGAATTTGCTGGGTCTGATGTCCTCTCATTTATCATTGCTTGGTATAACGAATCAAATATTTCATTATTGGAAAAATAATGTAGAGAAAAGGATGGATATGTAACAATATTTGTAAATATACTTGCAACATAATCACGTATTGATCTAAAATTTTCATCGACTAATAAAGCACAGTTTGCTATATATAAAACTGCGTCATTAAATCTGTAATTGCTTACTTCGCAATGTGTGTGGAGTTTTTTAAGAACTTCAATAGAATTCGGAGGAAAATTTGATAAAATCGTTTCAAGTTCTTCTTCAATCCCATTAACAATATTTGAAATATCACCTGCATTCTTTTCTTTCACTGAATCTGCTACGTGTAATAAGCGTAGAGATCCAGACATAAAAAAAAATTGGAAAAATGGCACTTTTTGGAGTATCATTGAACTCTTTACATATGATTAGTACATTCATTTCCGTTGATTGGAATGAAAAGTACGGAATTTCTCGAAGCATTAATATGATTCGATAAGATTTTTTAAGATTAGAAGAAGAAATAGTTGCTTGTAATGGAAAAAGTGTAATAAACAGAAATTCATCAAAAGTGACAGCTCTCAATTTTTTGACATTTGTAAATTCTAATTTGAATGAGAAAAATGAAATAATACTAAGCATAATACAATATTCTAGATTTAATTATAATTAGGAAAAAGTTAGTTTTGAGAGTACTTTTCATAGGCATATAGAATGAAATCTTCTGAAAAATAATATCACATAAACTCATATTATTTTCTAATATATAACTATTTTATATAAAAATCAAATTCAATGATCTTAAAAGCGAAGGATAAACCTCAAAATTTACGAATATAATGAGTGGGAATATAATGCTTATCTATCATAAAACCATATGAAATATCAATTTTTGCTTTACGCCTAATTTTTGACGACAATTAGCAAAAAATGTTAAATGTTAACACTCAGTCCATTTGAATATGAAAAATAAAATTGACTTTGATTAAATGTTTTTATTTATCATGCAATTCTTCTTGCGACCAAAGATTTGAATAAAAGTTCAAAAAATAAGATAGCTTAAAAATAATATACGGTAGTGTTTACTAATAGATGAATAGTATATAAATTCTATTAAAATGGATTTGATCCAAAAAAATATATAAAATTTGATCATAAATAAAATCGTTTTAAATTACTTCTTCATTTAAATTATAACAATTATTTTTGGTTTTATATTTTTTGGATCAAATCCATTTTAATAGAATTTATATACTATTCATCTATTAGTAAACACTACCGTATATTATTTTTTAAGCTATCTTATTTTTTGAACTTTTATTCAAATCTTTGGTCGCAAGAAGAATTGCATGATAAATAAAAACATTTAATCAAAGTCAATTTTATTTTTCATATTCAAATGGACTGAGTGTTAACATTTAACATTTTTTGCTAATTGTCGTCAAAAATTAGGCGTAAAGCAAAAATTGATATTTCATATGGTTTTATGATAGATAAGCATTATATTCCCACTCATTATATTCGTAAATTTTGAGGTTTATCCTTCGCTTTTAAGATCATTGAATTTGATTTTTATATAAAATAGTTTATATTAGAAAATAATATGAGTTTATGTGATATTATTTTTCAGAAGATTTTGTGTTCTTCTTCAAAATTTTATTTTTTATTAAAAAGAATCTTTACAAAATATACATTTACTTTAATTAATATTTAAAAACGTGCTCTATCAAAAGTTCCAAAAATTCAATATTTTAGCTTTTCTGAGGTGTCACTTTTGATGAATTTCTGTTTACAACAAAAGTAAGTAAATAATTATAAGTCTTTAACAGATACAATATATGAGTTTGAATCAAAATCAATCTTCTTGATATTTTGTGCTGGAGGTATTTTACGTTGGTTAAACTGTTGGAAGAATGCTGGTGTAGGTTCTGGTTTCTTTTCAACAGGTTTTTCTTCAACCTTAGGCTGAGGTTTTGCTTTCGGAATTTCTTCATCAGAGTTTTCATCTGATAAATCAATTGATAAGTCTTGCTCTGAATCATCGTCTATTTCTTGTTGATGATCATCTTCATCGTTTTGTTCATCTTGATCATCGACGACTTCGAAATTTTCTTCCTCTTCCTGTTCCATTAGATTATCCAAAATGTCTTTGATATTGGGAGCTTCGTATTTATCGGCATTTTTGAAATTGGTTTCTGCAATTAAAGCTTTTAAAGCAAAATTGTAGCCCTTTTCTTCTAAGAACTTAACAATAGCAGAAAGAGCCATGACTGTATATTCTGTTTCGTTCTTGAATGGATCGTGTAATAATGCTGATTTTTCGATTGGCACGTTATTAACAATTTCTTTTGCAGCTACATTTAAAGCATCGAGAACACGCTTTTCCATGTCACTAATTACCTTCGAATCTTTCATTCTCTGTTGTATTTGTTCCTTTACTTCGGGAGGAGCAGCAATATCTTCCATTTTTTGTTTTTTTACAAACGTCAATGAAATTTTGCAATGATGATGTTCGAGATGAAAAAATATGAAAGCATAAAAGTTTAGATTTTAAATTTTTCATTTAAATTTGCCATATCAAGAGTAATTGATATACAAACTTATAAAATTAATGCGAAAGTAAGAAATATTAATTGTACATAAATAGTTAATTTAAATGCCAAGCTTTGTTGGCGAAAAAAATTCCAAAAAAATTTTGAAAATCAAAAAATGAAATTATTTTCCAAGGTAATTTTGCTGGAATTTTAAAAATCAAATATTTTTTGGAAATTTCAAAACTATCAAACAATAATAAAAATCATTCTAAATACATTTTACCATAAAATATTCCTTCGATTTTATCTTTTAGCAAAAAACAATTAAAATCTCTTTCATTTCTTGAATACATAGTGAATTTTCAGATATATTTTTTCCTATTATTCCATTTCAAATTGGTATTGAATTCATTTTTTGAAATGGATGTAAATCAAATGTTACGCAAGGATCAAGACATCGAAGAAAAACGAAAATCAACACAGACATTTTCAAAAATACCAAATGATATACTAATGTTTCGAGCACCTAATAGTAATCAAAAGATAATCGATTTAATTCATACATTTATCCCAGAAAACATAAATAGAGCATTAGAAATGGGATACATGTGCGTAACAATGCAACCAAACCTGTTTTGCGAGATCGATTACCCTGATGAAACTTTTCTTTCAGTTTTATATAACATTTTAGAAGGGAAAATAGACTCATACTCAAAGAAAGATCCATTTTCATCAATGGCAGCTTCATTTTTATATAATTTGTTCGGTTTTTACAAAGATTTATTTGATATTGAATTCGAAAAGCATCAAAACCTTTTAGAATTATTACTTGAAAAGACAAATACAAGCGAATCATACAAAAGACTTCATTATTTCCTTTGCCAACATGAAGAACAAATTGAAAACGTAATTGAGTTAGGAATTCCCAACAAAGCATATCTAGCATTAGATAATCAATCTACATATCAATATTCATTACAAGTTTTACAGTTAATACGAGAACATTTAGATCAGGACACGTTAATCGAAATATTTAATAAAGTTGTTCAATCAATAGACTCTCTTACTGATACATTATTCTATACTTTAGAGTTTATTCGATCATTGATGCCTGCATTCGCCGAATTATTGTTTTCTCGTCAAGAATTTCAACAAATGATACAAATTATTCCAGAAATGAACTTATTCCAACTCAAAAATGCATGTGAATTGATTGATGTTCTCGTTGCATCAGATACAGTTAATTATTTTTATAATAATAATATAATTGAAGTTCTTACTCAAGTTGTAGCTACAAACATGGAGAAAACACCAACATCCATTTCTTTTCGTATATTAGCTAACGTAATTTCATTACACAAAACAGCATTCAATTTGGCTGTTGTTCCTCCTTTGGGAAACGTTTTACTCGACTTAGAAAACTATTCTCAGTTTTTACAAACATCGGCTTCTCGAGTTATCGTTGCTCTTCTTGAAAAAAGAGATAATTCTTCAGTTATTTCATTTTTCAACAGCAATGATGTTAATTTCTTTAGTATAATGGCTGATGTTCTTTATCGCGACTTCTGTGAAGAAACATTTTTGGTTATTCAGATGTTTTTTGATTTAGTTTCTGAAATAAAGCTTGGCAAATCAGCTTTTTCAGAAAAACTGCTTCCTATTCTGAATTCAAGTGAATTCAATGAGTCTTTGGAATCAATTTCTCAATCATTTGATAAAGAATCCGAAACTCAACAAAATGCATCAGTATTAGCTGAACAACTACTGGATTCCATCAATGGACTCTAAAATTGTTCATTATTTTTGTTTTTTATAAAAATTATTTGTTATTTTGTATTCTTTTAAATTGAAACAAAGGTTTTAAATCACGAATACCATTGCTCATATCAGTATCTCATTACTTTTAACTATTAATTCAAAAAGACAAAATTTAAAATATTTTACTCAGCTGTAGAAGAATTCAAATGGAAATATACCTTTTCCGGCCATATCTAAGTAGATAAGTAAAAGAGAACAGACGAAAAATTAAATCAAAGACAAAAATTAGTTTTTGTAATAATAAATCGAAAAAAAGTTAACGATGATCAATAAGGTCGCCATTATGAAATCAAATAATGCGTAATAAGACGAAAAATAGACTATTGAAGATAAAAAAATTTCAAATTCTCTTGAAAAAATAATTAATTATTGGATAGGCTGTCTGACATCCTGTAACAAAGCAGCATGCCGTTTACCTACCCATTTATTGGTTGGTTTTTGCAAGTTACTGGCAACGTAGCATGTAACAAACGGAACCACCATTAATGGCCGAACGATTATTTTCTTCTCAATCTAACAGGAGGCCATTTATGTGATCATTGATGATTTGAGAGATTTTAATAATGTAATAACATCCTACACTTCATAAGTGAGCTAGTGTTTAAGTTTAATCATTATAAACATACGTTATAAATTTTATTCAAACAAAATAACAAACATTATATACGCTAATCATCTTGAATTCTCACAGGTATCTCATTATTTCTTTAAAATTTTCTGAAAGCACTATCTTGAGCATCTTTGCAAATGACATTTGCAATAAATAATTATACATCCCAACTCTAAAGCTCCAAAATTCGAAACAAAACAAACCAATGCCAACCATTTTCATGGAAGCTGTTACACTTTGAATTTTTTGTATTCTTTGTATAATTCGGCGTATCCTTTGTAAAGTTCAAAGATTTCTCCGTCATACATATTAAAACGCTTTGTAACAACAGCATTTTCTGATAAAAATGTAATTCTATTTGTGATGTATCTGATACAATCACGTGCCTTAAAAATATGTTGTACATTTTTGAATTGTTTCTTTGTGGAAATTTTTTTGAAATTTTTGGGACAGCTCTGAAGTTCTTCTATAATCGGTTCTACAAAATCTGGTATTTGAATCTTTGAAAAATCAATAATATCTAATTTAGTGCGAATATTATCATTAATATTGATTGGCTCTATTCTTATAATATCTCTTAAGAGTATCTGATAGTCATTAAGAGTGTCTGTAGCAAGATAAGAATTTTCTTTGATTTCTTGTTTGCAACGAAGTGAGTATTTAACATTCCCAGAAAGTTCAGGAAAAGCAGCTTCCATATTGAATAATAATTCTTTCAACTCGCGATTTTTCTTTTTTGCATTTTGAACGTCTGTTTGGATTCGATTGACATAATTGATAATATCATTTCCGACAACTTGTGCTTGATCACATCGCATTTCTCTTTCTGAAATTCTCATGATATTTTCAAATCCATGCTTTTCAAAATGATCTTTTTCCTTTAAAAGTTGTTCCCTTTCTTTTTCTAAATCTCTGATGCGCTGCTGTAGCGCAGCAATTGCTGAAATCGCGGCTTCAGATGCTTTTGGCTCTAACATTAGTTTTACTGTACGTTAAATTTACATTTTCACGATTCTTTTAGTTATGATTTTTGAGAAATACACATTAATTTCCCATAGATGTAATGCTCAAGATCAAATCTCACTCATTAAGCGTGTTTTAAACCTTTTTGCTTTGTGACTAGCTCCATTTTTGATTGAATTTACTAAAATTCTAATTGAGTTGTTTGTTTTATTTCTTATGATGAGCATAAAGTTCTTTATGGACTGGTAATTGATCTTCATCGCAAATCTCACGTAATGAGAGAGGATTGTCAAATGTTGTGAGATGTATATGCAAATGTAAAGATATTTTTCATATTGTACAGTGAAAATATATGACATTTAAATTTTTTAATGTCTGATCAAGACATTCACCCAAATAAATATGATGAATTTCGTAGTATCCATAAATACTACATCGATTCATATACTGCGTTGTATCAGCTGAAAACGGAAAACGAAGAAGATTTAAACACGATCTACAAAATGATCAAAACAGAATTGATTAATTCAAACAACTATTTGTCAAAAAGCATTGTAAGAGATATTTTAAAAATCATTTCGTATAATAATCGCTATGCAAAGTCATATTTATATCTTGCTAAACGAATAACTGATGAATATCATGTAACAGAGGTCAACAAAATTCCAACCATTTCCAGCTACCTGTTTTATAAAGAATATGGAATTACTTTATACAAATCTAATAATTTCAAAGAATTTCAAAATGAAGATCTCAACATTCATTCAGAAAATAGTATTTTCACAGCAATTATGTATAATGACAAAGAAAGATTCATACAATTCATTGAAAGCGATGATTTTGATAAAGATAAAACACTTTACAGCCATTTTTATCCAAATTCTGATGAAATATTAACATTACTTGAATTATGTTGTTACCATGGAGCAATTGATTGTTTCAAGTTATTAAGAACGAAATTTAACTCAAAAATAACTGAAACATGTCTTCGATTATCATTTTTAGGACGAAATCCAGAGGTCATGAGTGAATGTTTGAAATATCAAAAGCCAGATGAAGAATGCATGAAATATGCAATTATTTCACACAACATCGATTTTGTTACATTCTTGAAGAATGAGTACAATATAGAGATTAATTTAGATTATTGCGGACAATATAAAAATCTTGAATCATTTTTGGTTTATTTCGATCAAAAGAATGATGATAATAAATGTTTTGTTAATTCAACGATGTTTGATATTCCATCCCTTAGCGAATATTTCCTTAATCATGGTGCAAATATCAATGGAAAAGATTTGTTTGGAAAAACGGCTCTGCATTACACGGCAGTCAATAATAGTATAGAAACAGCCAAACTTCTTCTTTCACGCGATATAAAAATCAATGAAAAAGATAATTATGGAAAAACCGCTCTTCATTATGCTGCAGAAAATAATAGTAAAGAAACAGCTGAACTTCTTGTTTCTCATGGTACAAATATCAATGAAAAAGATAAAAGCGGGAAAATCGCTCTTCATGAGGCAGCAATAAACAATAATAAAGAAATAGCCGAATTTCTTCTTTCGCATGGCGCAAAAATTAATGAAACAGATGATTCTAAAAAAACCGCGCTTCATTATGCAGCAGAAAATAATAATAATGAAACAGCCGAACTTCTTGTTTCACGCAAAGCAAAAATCAATGAAAAAGATAAAAACGCAAAAACTCCCCTTCATTATGCATCATATAATAATAATATAGAAATGGCCAAACTTCTTCTTTCTCATGGAGCCAAAACCAATGAAAAAGATAAAAGTGGACAAATACCTCTTCATAATGCTGCAAATTTTTATTATAAAGAAATGATAGAACTTCTTCTTTCACACAAAGCAAAAGTCAATCAAAAAGATGAGCTTGGTTTCTCTCCTCTTCAATATGCAGTATATGGTACTAAAACAGAAACAACGGAACTTCTTCTTTCACATGGTGCAAAAGTCAATCAAAAAGATAACCATGGAAGTACCGCCCTTCATGCAATTGTACGAAGAAATAATGTTGCAGAAGTTAAAGTTCTTCTTTCACATGGTGCAAAAATCAACGAACAAAATGATGAAGGGAAAACTGCTCTGCATTATGCTGCACAATACGGCACTACGGAAACTTGCGAAATTCTTATTTCACACGGTGCAAAAATCAATGAAAAAGATAAAAATGGAAGAACCGCACTTCATATTGCAGCAGAATACAATAACAAAGAAATAGTAGAACTTCTTGTATCACATGGTGCAAATATCAATGAAAAAGATAAATTTAAAAATTCTGCTCTGCACTATGCTGCACAATACGGCACTACGGAGATTTGCGAAATTCTTATTTCACACGGTGCAAATATCAACGAAAAAGATAAAAATGGAAGAACCGCACTTCATAATGCAGCATTGCATAATAGCAAAGAAATAGTAGAACTTCTTGTATCACTTGGTGCAAATATCAACGAAAAAGATATATATGGAAACACTGCTTTAAGCATTATAAGCGGAATGAACTATGAGGAAATAGCAAATTTTCTTATTTCAAATGGTGCAAGATACAATTAATTAAACAAGACTGTCATGTAGAATTTAATATTGGCAAAGGTTGATGAACAGGTCAGCTTATTTTTTTTATAAATATTTTTAATAATAAAGACTCTTACTTCCAGACTGTATTTGTAATTACTTAGAAATGTTTGACGGATTTTCAATGAGTAAAAGTTTGAGACATATCGATTATAAAGGAAGGATAAAATGTAAATATCACAAAATATTAATGTCACTTTTTTAATTTTGTAAGTCATCTTAAGATTTATCGTTTTGGATTTTTGAAGCCGTAAAAAGGGTAACACACTCTAAATTACTATCATTTTTCATCTTTTTAAATGAAAATTATGAAGACAATTTCCAAGGTATTAATTAAAAATTTTGATTGAATCAAATGGAATATTATTTTGATATCATCTTTGTCTTTTTATTTCAACATTCAAATATTGAATGCAAACAAAATTTGAAATAAAAAATTTTTATACGAATTTATCTACAATGGATATAAAAGTATTTTGTATATTTTTTCCAATTTTTACCAATTCGATCAAAATTTTTAAAAGTGACATAAATGATTTTTGCATTAACTCTTCTCTGTGCATCAATCCCAGGCGGTTGGCAGCAGGTTGGCTACGATACAGAGTATGTCAGAAAAGTAATCCCATATATCAACAAAAACTTTAGATTAATCCTTCCAGAGTACAAGAATCAAAATTCCCTTTGCGTTTTCCAAAGTGCTGAAGTTCAAGTAGTAAACGGATACAACATCCATCTAACACACAAATTAGGCAGGGATATTGTTGAATTTACCTTACATGTCTCAATCACCAACGAAATTTCATTAACAGACTTCAAGCACACTCCAGATACAAATAATTTGGGAATGATTGGAGCTTGGGAAATTCAAAAGCCAGATTATGAACCTGAAGAGGTTTACAGATTCATTAAATATTACATTATGATCAAAGGAGTCAACACTATGCCAGAAAAGACACTCTTTGTTAGAACTAAAGTCGTTCAAGGACTCCATATCCACATAGTTTATAATGATAACTTAGGAAAGACTCATTCAATAGTAATGGAGCGCGATTTATCGGATAACATCAACGTTATTTCCAACGATTCATTCTAAAAAGGCTTTTTCCTTATTTTGTTTTATTTTTTATTAATAAATGAAAAAATTATAAAATCATATCTCTCTTTTTTTTGTTTTTCTTCAAAAGAGTGACATTGTTTTAAGGATTACTTTGGATTGGATTTGTTTATTTCATGTATTTTTCTTTTATTATGGAATTTTGAAAAAATTCTTTGGAATATAACAATAAAGAAAATTAAAAACACGTTTATTTAAAGTTTCTTATTCGCAGATGCATTTTTTTCAATTATTATAATGCAAATTTTCGAAATAAGAAAAAAGAACTCAATCAAATCTAGTTCTAGTAAATTTATCGATCAATATACTCTATATACATATCAAATATCCTAAATTTTTGAAAACAATTAATATTATTTCGGTTTTCAGTCATTTGGACATTATTTTTCGCCAAACAATTCAGCCAAAGCCTGTTCTTTGTTGAAATCCACTTCCTTCAGCTTTGCCAATACGACTGGTTTTTCAAGTTGTTGGCAAGAAGAATAAACGGAGTTAAATATATCTTGCTGGACCTTGTTTAAGCTCTCCAGTTCAATGTCGAAGTCAGAAACAGGAGGTAAATGTTCTTCTATATTATAATCTAAAAGTGTAAGCATAATTGATAAAATATCATTTGGATCTATTCCAGGACAGATCGTATGATCACAATCATAGCATACAAATTCGTATAAATTGGCAGGATTTTGAAGTAATTGACTTACTTGACCCATTTCGGGCAAATTTGCCCAAATTTCAGTATTGTTGTATAACTGTTGCAATTGTGAAATTTTAATGAATTCTTTAATATTATTTTCTGCATTTATTATCGATTCTTTTTTAAGTCTTGCTTCCTCTTCTTCTTTCTGAACTTTATCGAGTGATTTTATGAATACAACCAACTTTGCTCCATTAGGAACATGTTTAAATGTATTGGTTTCTGACAAAAAATTGCCTAAATAAATAAAAGCGTATTTACCATCTTCAAAATGATGTTGCTCAATGAGAATCTTCTTTGCATCTTCGGCTGTAGAATCTTTCGATATTTCTATTGTTACAATATCTTTATGAGGGACAATAACTGAAACTTTGATAATCTTGCTCATAAATAAAAAAGTGACATTCTCGATATCATTCAGTGTAAAGATCAAATCATTAACTTGCTAGATATTTGATTTATACCAAGCAAGATACCAGAATCAGAGTCAAATTTATGTTGTATATTTTCAACCTGACTCATGAAATTTTGAATTTCGAAGTTTTATTTTTCAAAATCAATCCTTTTATCGTCGATATAAAAAAAAAAAAAAAAAAAAAAAAAAAAAAGGTAGTGGGGCTTCCAGGCACTTCGTGCCTTCTAGCCCTGAGGATGAATGAGTATAATGAAGTTTTTTTTTCTTGGGGTGAGCTTCCAGGCACTTCGTGCCTTCTAGCCCACATAAATGAAGTTTTTATTCGGAGGTCTTCCAGGAGCTTTTCACAAATTATATATGTTTTCATGTTTTGTCAAGACTTCTTCATCGTAAATGTTTTGTCAAGACTTCTTCATCGTAAATGTTTTGTCAAGACTTCTTCGTAAATGTTTTGTCAAGACTTCTTCATCGTAAATGTTTTGTCAAGACTTCTTCGTAATGAGCGTAAATGACCCAAAAATAATGTTTATGTTAGAATGTTAGATCTAACACGTTTTCTAACATGTTTTCTAACATCGTAGAAAACTCATGATTTCATCGTAAATGTTTTGTCAAGACTTCTTCGTAATGAGCGTAAATGACCCAAAAATAATGTTTATGTTAGAATGTTAGATCTAACACGTTTTCTAACATGTTTTCTAACATCGTAGAAAACTCATGATTTCTTCGTAAATGTTTTGTCAAGACTTCTTCATCGTAAATGTTTTGTCAAGACTTCTTCGTAATGAGCGTAAATGACCCAAAAATAATGTTTATGTTAGAATGTTAGATCTAACACGTTTTCTAACATGTTTTCTAACCTCATGAATTTTCATGAACTTTCTTTACAAAGTCTTTACGATGAAGAACTTTACAAAGTCTCAACAAAACATTGACAAGAAAGTTCATGAGAAAGACTTTACAAAGTCTTTACGATGAAGAACTTTACGAAGAAATCTCAACAAAGTCTTTACGAAGAAGTCTTGACAAAACATTTACGATGAAATCATGAAAATTCAAGAGGGTAGAAAACATGTTAGAAAACATGTTAGATCTAACATTCTAACATAAACATTATTTTTATTGAATTCCGTATGAAATTTCATGAGTTTTGTATGTTTTAGACCATGTTAGAAAACATGTTAGAAAACATGTTAGATCTAACATTCTAACATAAACATTATTTTTATTGAATTCCGTATGAAATTTCATGAGTTTTGTATGTTTTAGACCATGTTAGAAAACATGTTAGAAAACATGTTAGATCTAACATTCTAACATAAACATTATTTTTGGGTCATTTACACTCATTACGATGAAGAAGTCTTAACAAAGTCTTTACGAAGAAATCTCAATAAAGAAATTTTATTGGTAAGTAAATGTGGTTTGAAATAGGACTACTTGTTTTAGGTTTTTTCCATTGTGTCATTTACTTATTTGACGTGGCAGAAAGATATAGAGAATATGAAGATGAACCAATACCTGCAAATGTTCAGCATATGTACTCGTAAGAGATATTTTTATCTAATATTAAATGGACGCACAGAACTTAGCGAATGCACAGCAACCTGGACAACCAAACCCAGAGAATATTCCAAATGAAGTTAGAATACAAACTGCAATGGCAAACTATGGTCAAGTGCCAACAGATGTACAAATGCAAACTGCCATGTCAAATGACGCTGCGTTAGGTTTGCCACCATGGTATGCAAATATGAGATGGAAAGAGTTTTATACAAACCCTGAAGTGGGATATAAACAACTTTATGCAGATGACGCGAACACAGGAGTTGACCCAGAATATGTTTTCTACCAGAGGAGAAACAGAATGTATGAGCTCCAGTTAAAGAACGCTATGGAACTCAACAGGAAACGTAAGAGACTAGGCGGACATTAGATTTTTACATATAGTAAAATGGGTTTCTTCAGTAGTATTGGAAACTTCTTCAGAAGAGTTGGAAGAGGTATATGGAATGGAATAAAAACCGTAGGAAGAGGAATTTGGAACGGAGTCAAAAATATTGGTAAAAGAGTAGGTCAGTTTGTTGGTATTATACCTAAAGACCCTGAACCAGAAGAACAAGCTCCTGTTATACAACAGCCTGAACCTGCACCACAGTCTAGTTGGCAACCAAATCCAACACCTCAACCGTATTAAAAAATTATATTTTTACCGTTCGATAGTAGTTGTATATGAAACTAAGTTCTAAGTAAAACGCATGGTATAATGGAACTATTCTCTTTCTTCCATCTGTTGTAAACCATACTTGAAAGTCTGAAATACTTCCACTCGGCGGTTCATATAACTTTGTAGGTTTTTCGTAAAAGTCATTTGCCAAGCATAAAAAAGAGTTTTGTGCACCAGAAAATGAAGCATGAACTATAATAGCGTCTGAGTCGAAAACATCTTTAAATAAATATGGTTCATCTCTTGCATATCGACTGTAAATATTTGCTAAAGGAAGTTCGACTTTCTGATTTAACATTCTTTGCAAATAATACCATGACATTGCAGTGAATTCTGTATATATTTGTTCGTCTTTCTTTGGATTGTCTTCGTAGATTTGAAATGACACTTGTGAATTTTGTTTGTCATATACAATTCTCACATAAAGTGTGCTCTCGGTATTTGCATATTCATCAGCATATTTTGCATAACATGAATTTATTTTATCTTCTATATTTTTAACGCAGTCTGTAGAGAAGATGAAAGGTCAACTTGTATTAGCTCAATTTCTTCCCACATTTTTTCGTTTCCCTTCAGATATATAATCTATATGAAACCTTACAATAAATGGAAAACTTTTATCTTCTACAGACACAAACTTCATTCTACGAAAGCCAATAGCTTTTGTGACAGATGGGTCTCTTAGCCATCTTAATGGGTAGTCAAAACGATAGCCTTCATGCTTTACGGTCTCTGTCTCAAACTTTTGACCGACATTAGTAAAAAGTTCATCTAATGGTTTAGTTGTAGCAACTCTTGAATTTTCTTTTTCTATTGGAAGCATATTTTATCTAGAATAAAAATGTCGAAAGAAACAGCGTCTATGAGAGAAATACAACACAACCGACAACTCATTATACAAGCTCTAAATAAGAACACAACAAACTTTTCAAACTATTCTAAGATATCTGAGTCATTGAAAGAAGGAAACTTAAAACTGACATTAAACCCAATGACAGATGAGTTTCTGTTTCAAGACAATAAGAACCATACTGTCTGTATAAATCCAACAAAAGGAACTTTAAACGAGAAACCTATATCTGAACTTCTTTTGAAAACAGATGTTGACAACAAAGCTGACAAAGAATATGTAGACGATGCAATAGCAAAAGAAGAAGAAAGAGCTAACAATGCTTATGCAACAAAAGAACATACTCATCCTGAACTAGCAGACAAAACATATGTTGACAATAAAATGTCAAGTGAAGTGACAAGAGCTGAAAACGAATATTCTAAAAAGACTCATACACATACTATATCTGAAATAACAAACTTACAAGAAACCTTAAACAGGAAAAGTGACGTTGGACATACACATACCATTGCAAATATTACAAACTTACAAGAAACCTTAAACAGGAAAAGTGACGTTGGACATACACATACATCTTCTGAAATAACAGACTTAAACGTTAGCCTTGAAAATAAAGCAGATAAAACATATGTCAATGAAATATACCAAAGTTTAGTTGGAACAAAAAATATTGAAACTATTGTTGGTGACTTTTCTGTCAATGAAGAAAACAAATATTTTAGATGGGAGTTTGTACACTCCTTAAAAAATGGTACACGGTATAAACTCATTCCGAAAAATAACAATGAAATGTATGTAAGCTATAAAAAGAACGATGGTACACAAGTTAAAGTTCCATTAGACAACAACTGCTACTTAAACTTATATGGAGACGAACAAAAGAAATATTTAAGAGTTTATGAAATGGCAGATATGACATTGCCTGACCCAGCTCCAGCACCATACTATTATGACTATGGAGATGACAACAGAACACCACATGTAGATGAACAAAAGCTAACATTATATTTAGATTTTTATAGATATAAAAGATATAATGCAATAGAAAAAACGAGAATAGTATACTATTATGAAGATGACAGAAATAAATATTATAGTCAAGATTTTACCTACCCTGAAACATAAGATTATATTATAAAAAATATTCTGACTTAAACCAGAAGAAACCTGAAATAGTTGCACTATATTTTAAGTTCAAAAGAGACAATCCTATAATATCTCATATGTTTGATTTAATGAACCAGTAGGTTCTATTTATACATCTATGGAAGCAAGAGGTCCTCAAGTAATGTTTGGTGTTGGTGCATGGGAACAAATAGTCGACAGGTTTTTGTATTGTGCAAACTCTTCAAAGGAAACAGGTGGAAGTAAAACGATTTCAGGTGAAAACTTACCTGCGCACAGTCACTACATAGATTTAAGTACATCTCAAGCAGGTTGGCATAAGCATAGATATTGGGATTGGACAGGAATGACAAAAGGTAAAGGATATGATGTTAAAGACGACGTTAAGTTTGCTATAAATGTTACTGGAGTGACACTCAGGGAGAAGGAAACCATACACATTTCGTTTCAGGATATACGCAAACAACGGGACAAAGTAAAGAATATATGCCACCTTACATGACAGTTTACGCATGGTATAGAATTGCTTAGTCGTCATTTTCAACTTCTTTAGCATATTCGTCAGGAGTTGTCTTATATTTGTTAGGAACTGTCTTTGAAAGTATACCACCTTGAACTTTGACAAGTTTGAAACGAGGTCTGACAATAGTAGTTTTATCTTCTGCTTGCAGTGTGTACATTTTGCCATGTTTGCCTAAAACTTCATAATATTCTCTTGTATACTTTCTTCTATTTTTACGAACACGAATGCGAGTACCTGTCGAGTTCCCATTGTTGTCATAGTCAATAGTATTTTCATATGGGTCGCGTTTAGGTATTTCTATTTTTACTTTGTCACCTTTCTTAAGTTTGAAGCCTGGCATTCTTTCTTGTTTGTCTCTTTTGACTAAACTATTAAATATATAGTCTTTCTCTAAGTCGGGGTTGTTTTTCATTTCTTCGGGGAGTGGTTTCCCAAACCTTTTTGTTTACGGCTATTGTAAATATTTAAAACTTGTCTCATCTTTGCCATGGAGAAGTGTCTATATTTGTCGTCATATGACATTTCATCTACCTCACCACCTTGTGGTTGATTTAAGTCTCTTAAGATTTTTATACAACTGTCAATGACACCAAGAGCAGAATGGTTTTGGTCGACAATGAAATATTGGTTTACATTTTTTGAACGCAGATAGTTTTTAATATCGTCTGATTTGAAAGAACTTTCACAGTCAGATGTCAGTTTTGTTGGATGGTATTTGTCAACGAATATTGTCAAAGCAGTTTTCACATCTAAAATATTTTTGGACCATAATGGTATGGCTTCACAGTATCTTGTGTTTTGACCGACAAATATTAGCCAGTATGGTGGTCCGTCTTCTCTATACCTCGGAATGTTTTCCAAGATATCCATAAACCAAGCATTTGGTGTTGAACTAAAGATTTTTACCATGAGTGCTTTCTTTGTTGCCTTAGAAACATAGGGGTCCTTGTTTGGATTCGTCATTTTTTACCCTATAAGAAATGGGTTTATTTGGCGCATTAGCAGGAGTTGCATCCAGATTTTTGCCCGCAGTGGGAACACTAGCCAGAGGTGCATTTGGAATTGGAAGGAAGATTTTGAGTACATTAGGTATACTGAAAGAGAAAGCAACACCTATTATACAAACTGTACAGAAAGGTTGGGATGTAGCACGAGATGCAGCAAATCTTATTCCAAATCCTGAAACAAGAGGAAAAGTTCAAGGATGGATGGACAATGTAGGAAGAGAAGCAGGAAACTACTATAACAAAGCAAATGACTACTATAACCAAGCAGGACACTACATGGACCAAGGTGAAAGATTCTTTAACAGAGGATATAACCATGCACAACAATGGGTAAACAATAACCAACCTCAACCGCCTCAAACGTGGGGAATGTAAAATTTTTTACTGAGATGAAATGAACAATACAGCATTGAGACAAATGGGTTCAAGATGGATTTGTCGGCTTCCAGCAGTTACACAACCACGTGTTTGTCAAGTTCTTCCTATACCTCAGGAAGTTTTAGACCGACTTAAAAAACCTAAACAACCAGTTGAAAACAAAACAAACTAAAATTTTTACTGAGATGAAATGACCGAAGAAGTTGAAACGGTAGATTTGACACCAAAAAAAAGTTCAGAACCATTGTCAAAACCTGTCAAAGAACTTACAGATGAAGAGAAAAATTCAATAATAGAAAGTGCCAGGTCTGGAAATACAAACCCTAACTACAAAGTCACTTTTCATAGAAATGGAACGGCAAGTATCTCAAAAAAGAAACAGACTCTCACAAATAAAATATTGAAGTCTGAAGGAGCTTTCGAGACAACAGATGGAAAAGTTTACTTCACTGACCAACAGTTCATTATAGAACATCTCATTGACTTAGAGTCAAAATATTCTAAACTTTACAACAAACACAAAAAGTTGAAAGGAAAACAAAAAAAATGGCATATGATATTTATGAAGATGTTGACGACACAACCATACCTGCAAGTGAGGTAAAGTCAGAGGAACCGAAAAGTGACGAAAAACCGATAGAAGAAGAGAAACCAAAAACTGAAGATAAACCAAAACCAAAGTTTAGTTTCCAAACTAAACCAAGTCAACCTTCATTAGCTGGTATGGGTTGGCGTCAAAGACTTATGGTAGCTGGTGGTTATGTTAAGTAAAGGAAAAAACATTTTTCAAAAAAAATATTTTTTTATTTTATTTGAAATGTACGCTGAGTTTGTTGGAGAAGACCGTTGGGAAACTTGTTTGTTAGATGAGAAATATGAAATTCACTGTTGTGAGTCATTTGAAGTCAGAAACAAAGAGACAAAAAGAGTTTTAAGCGAATGGGAGCAAAATGACGGATATGCTAGGATGAGGATTGGTGGAAAACACTATCTTAAACATGTTGTCATTGCAACTCATTTTATACCAAACCCTAACAATTTACCTTTTGTAGACCATATAAACCGTATAAGAAACGACAATAGACTTGAAAACTTACGTTGGGTCACTTGTTCTGAAAACAATAAGAACAAAAGCAAATTTAGAGATATTGTATTCGAATTTGTCGACGAACTAGAAGATGAAGCAATTGAAATTACAGACTATGGTAAGCATACGTTTGAGTTTTACTACTATAGCGAAGAACAGGACTCTTTCTACTTTTATACCGGCGTAAACTATAGGAAATTACAAGTATGTTTTACTAAGGAAGGCTGTGCTTATGTAAACGCTAGAGATACAGATGGAAAAAACGTTAGACTATTTCTTAACAAATTCAAGAAGCTATATGGCATACCATTTTAAAACAGTATTTTTTTATTTTTATAGAAATGCCACCGCATAGAATGGATAGAAAATCTGCTAGAATAAAAGCAGAGTTACAAAGATATGGTTGGAGAGTTTCGAAGAATTTTAAATATAGGAAGGGAAGACCCATAAAAGTCTATGACAAATTGTCTGGTCTGACCTACGAAATGGACTTAAAAACAGCGCGAACCAATTATCCAAACAGACTTGAGAGGTTAGAAGAAGAGCGTCTTATGAACTTGCCTTTCGATGTTACTGAGCCTCAAGTTGAAGGACACGACGGCTTTGCCAGGTTCTACTGGAAACATAACGAACAATTGCATCCTTTGAGAAGGAAAAAAGGAAAAGGTGAAGACGCACATGCTCCCATGGAAAGAACAAGATATGCATATGAAAAGTACCGTGAAGTTAGAAGTCAAATTACATCTGGTCGAACCTTTACAGTAAACTTTGACGAAGGAAAGAACAAAGAAGGCTTCATGGGTGTACTTGCTGCCATACAAGACGGAAATAAGAAAGGATACAATCTCAGACTAACCGTAACAGATTTAGATGGTCACATTTACTATGCGCATGGCAATGTCACAACAGCCGCACAACTTCTTGACGCTTTCAAGACTACAAAGAGAGAACAAATGTTTGATTCCGACTCAGACATCCTGAATGCAATTGAAGGAATTGTAAGTGTCAAGTTCGAATGGTACCAACCTAACCCTCAAGCAGTCAGACAACATGTTTGTTAGATGAGAAATATGAAATGGCATACTATTTTAAAACAGTATATTTTTACATATATTAAATGTTTCAGGTTGAAAAACAAAGAACAAAAGTAGCAGATACAAAACCGTTAGACTATATCTTTACAAACGCTGGTAGGACTATATCAGATGAAGAAATTTCATCCGGCTCCTACCGCTTTGACTTTCCAATTCGTTGGCTTCAAAGTCCTTCAGATGCAAAGGCAATAGGATTTAGAAGAGTTTTGTTTTCAAAAAGAACTAACGCGTTTATGTTTGCAGTATATTTTCATGGTCAGTATAGAGCTTCTGACGGTCTACTAGACAAATTTGACGAAATGAGAATCTTTACGGTTCGTTCAGACGAAAGTCTTGAGAAGACTCTAAATGACTTTCAAACTCAAATAAACAAATACTACTGGGAATTTCAAGAAAAATACGATTCTTTACTAAATGGAACATACTATCTGAAACTAGAATATGACAAGATGAACTCCACAGTTTCATTTCAAAGGATTGAAAATAACCCTCCAAGAGATACACAGTTTTTATTTTGGCAAGTAGACAAACGTTCTTGGGCACAATTTCTTCGGTTACTAAACCAGAACGAACCATTACCACCTGACGGTCCGTTCTGGTTTATACGCCCACCAACAGATTTGACAGTTTATAGAAACGTGTTTGACCCTCAAAATGTTATGTGTCATGCAAGTTTCAGTTCAAGCAACAATAGTTTTTTTGTATTGGTAAGGACTTTTATGACTTTGCTTCTAAATTCTACGAACCACCTAGTAACAGTTTCTCTGACTTTCAAGTTTGGTTCACAACAAATGGTGTGCAACATATTGTTCCATTGTACTACGACTTTTATCTCGAATTGTCTTTCATATATAACTACGGAGAAGTGCTGAAAAAGTATTGAAAAATGAGTTTTGGTTGAAAAAAGAGGTGGAGCCAAAAGTGGCTCGACCTCAAAACAAGCATTTTGTGAAGAATATAGCAACCGTCGGAAAACAGCGGGTTGCTTTTTATACAAAATTCAACAGGTGAATTTTCATGAAATTCCTTAAGATAGAAAAAATAAAGTTAGTTTTATTAAAATATTTTTTTTTATTTTGTATGTAAGAACAGGATATGTTAAACATTGAGTTTGAAACAGTTAAAAAGATAGACAATGACACCAAAGTGGTTAGAATAGGTGATTTAAACGTAAGATACTCAAAGAAATACAACAAATATTCTTTGTCAGACATTATATCTCCATCTGGAAAGAAAACATGGCATTGGGTTGGAATTGCTTCAACTCAGAAAATTTTGACAAGAAATCCTGAGCTTATGATATCGGTAAGATTCTATGGAACTACAGCATATCTCATTGACAAAAGTCTTATACCGATAGTTTTGTTATGGATTGACCCAGTTGTTGGATATAATTTCATAACATATGGTTCATTCGATACGGAACGTTGCAGTGAGGGCTTACTTTACATCGTTCAGAAACCGAAGGACTTCAATACAAAGAGATATAAGATAGGAAGAACATATAATATAACTCAAAGATATGACAGTACAGTCAATAGAGTTAAGGTTGTGTTTGTTAACGATATGAGAGCTGCTGAAACAGAACTACTTGAAAAGTTTGAGAAGATGTATGGTGCTCCCACGAAAGGTAAAGAAACGTTTGAAGTAGATGAGATAGATAGTGCTATAAAATTATTTGACGAAGTTGCTGAAAAATACATGTAAAGCGTATATTTTTGGTCTTTTGTGAAAGTCAGAAAATAAAGTTAGTGTCATTTTTTTGTATTTTTTTGTATTTGACGAGAATGTTTATGTTAGAATGTTAGATCTAACATGTTTTCTAACACGTTTTCTAACATGGTCTAAAACTCTTGAATTTTCATGAAATTTACACCAAAAATAATGTTTATGTTAGAATGTTAGATCTAACCTGTTTTCTAACCTCATTTCTAACATCGTAGAAAACTCTTGAATTTGTCATGAGTTTTACACCAAAAATAATGTTTATGTTAGAATGTTAGATCTAACATGTTTTCTAACACGTTTTCTAACATGGTCTAAAACTCTTGAATTTTCATGAAATTTACACCAAAAATAATGTTTATGTTAGAATGTTAGATCTAACATGTTTTCTAACACGTTTTCTAACATGGTCTAAAACTCTCGAAAATCATGAATTTTCCCGAAATAAAAAATAAAGTTGGTTTTTTTAAAAAAATATTTTTTATTTTTATTGTAAGAACATGTTAGCAACAACAGCACCAAACTCGTTAGTCATGAACCCAACTTCAATGTTAGTAGAGATGAAAAGCTTCATTCCTTCTTCATATACTTTCGAAACAAAAATCCAGAAGATAAAGCAAGAACTTTTAACAAGTAATTTAGACTGTAGTGCGAAAGATGAAACAAATGAACAGTATCTTTATGAAATGCAGGACATTATTGACCATTTACCCAAATTGCCTGAAATCCAACAACAAAAACTAACCATTCCCGAATTTGACGAAATAGAAGTCAAAGCAACTGACTCAGTAGAAATAAAGAAGTTCATACGAAAGGTAAATTATGAATTCCTTGGATTTCATTGCAACCACAAAGTCATGGACAAAGACTGCGACATGGTATATAAGAACATCTCTGACCTTTACAAATCCGAAGAATTTAAGACCTACGACAACTTTGTTTCATTAGTTGCAAAATGTGTTTGGGAAATAAGAGATAAAGATAGTAGGGGTAAGGTATGGAACGAACAAATAAAACCCGCTATGTTCGAGATGAAGAAAACCATTGACGCCTTAGTCATACTAGCAGGTAAGGTTTCAGAATATAACGCAAAAATGAACCCACAATGTTCTAAATGTAAAGCAGCAATGAGGAAATATAACTACTCCGTCAAAGAGATAGAACGTATGCGAAACGACTATGCAGATTTAAAGAAAGAAGCAGAGAAACCAGCAGAAGATAAAATGGACATGTTGACATTTCTAAACAAAAACTATCCAACAGCTGACGATTTCCTTCTATCTGACGTCAAGAAGAAGTATAAAGAAACTTTCGGTATCGTTAAAACATTCGATGTACTGACAGAAGAAATAGAAGCTACGAAATTGTTTAGAGTCATGAACCATCGCAACATATACCATGTAAAACGCTTGTAAATAGTTATGTTAGAAAACATGTTAGAAAACATGTTAGATCTAACATTCTAACATAAACATTATTTTTATTGAATTCCGTATGAAATTTCATGAATTTTGTATGTTTTAGACCATGTTAGAAAACATGTTAGAAAACATGTTAGATCTAACATTCTAACATAAACATTATTTTTATTGAATTCCGTATGAAAACCGAGAGAAGAACAGCGAGTAGGTAAGAAACCCTGGTCGCCAAAACTCTTTATTTTTCAAGCTTGACTTTTTACAATTTGAACTTTGTTCGCGTAGATGTGAATTCTGAAAGAAGTATGAGGGTCTTGTATGACTTTGTACTTCTCCCATAGTTCATGTCTGTCAAACTTACCTGCCATGGACTCTTTCATAAGTTCCATGAAATCGTCTTCGGACAATCCAGGGAAAAGTATGATGTCAGTAAGTATTCTTTTAACATCCTTACTTAAACTCTTTGCTGTCTGTACACAAATGACAACTGAGATGTTAAAGTGCCTAAGTTTCTTAAGAATTCGACACATATCTTGTTCTCTATTCTTTAACAAAGGATGAGAGGCGAAATCATCTAAGATAAGAAGACATCTATGAGGGTATGTCTTCCAATCGTAAGATTGCAATTTCTTCGAAATGTATTCTATCTCTTTCTGTTTGTTTCTGAAGTGTTTCTTCTCTAATATTCTCTGCATTTCCTCATTTGGGTCTTTAAACTTCGAGTTTATATACTCATTTATAGCATTGTACTTCAAAACTCTTCTTTGGTACTTCTTTATCCAATCTAACAACTCAGTATCCTTTATACATACTAACTTAGACTTCTTTATAATATCTTTGAACGAATTTACGGTTTGGTCAAATTGACCAGAAGTCGAACAAATGACTACTAACTCATAGAATGGGTTCTTCTCATCTAGTTCTTGTTGTTGTGCAGCCATTTTAAGATAAGTGAAAGTCTTACCCGACCCAGGTGGTGCGATTAGACCTGTTATACCATTCTGAGCAAATAAGAACTTGTCATGTATAGGTTTTATCTGAGCATTTTCTAACTTCCTCTTGTTCTTGTTTAAAACATTCTCAAATTTCTTGTCAATGTCAGCAAACTTTTTTTCTAACATATTTTTAGAAAAATTAAAATTTTTATCTTTTTGAAAATGTCTAGCGATTTCGCTATCTATATTCGAGACAAACTTTTTGACAGCAAAACATCTGTCGACCATAAAATCTTACATAGTGTAAACAAGAAAGGTGAATTTGTTCTAAAGTTCTGTTTCTGGGAATATGACAAGAACCATAAAACATTAGGCAGAGAAGTCTTTAAGTTTGTCAATGACAGACTTGTTGACAGAGATGACACCGATTGGAAAGATGAAGTCCAACAAAAGTTCTTAGAATGCAAAGAAGACACATGCGCTGTTCTTGAAGATGAAATAGGAAACAGAATAGATGAGCTATTAAAGGACAAAGAACTTTTACAGAAATATGGTTCTGAGAAGTTTGACATAACTCCACCAGAGAAGAAGAAGAAGAGAGAAAAGAAAGAAAAGAAAGTAGAAGAAGAGAAGAAAGAACCTGAACCAGTTCCAGAGAAGGTGAGATATGACATGTAAAAATAAAATTTTATTTTTAGAACATTTCTGGGTCAATGTCAATGTTCTCTTCCTCTTTAGGAGTAAACACTGGCTTAGACTCTAAAATCTTTTTACCTAATTTACCTTGAACTTCAACTATCTTAGACTCATAATATTCATAGTCGTCTGCTTTCTTTGGTTCATAAGGTATAACAAGTTTGTATGCTTTGCCTTCTTTAAGGTTTGAGAACCTTCTGTCAAAACTTTCTTTGACTGTTAACAAACCTTCTATGTCTAAGTCTTCAAATTTCGCACCATTTTTAGTCACAATAGCAAACTTAACTGGTTCGATGTTCCAAACTTTGTCAAATGTAGACTTTTCAAAATGGTAGAAGTAAACATTCAAATATATGAATGGAGCTAACTTATCTTTGACTTCTGTCATGTACTTATTTACTGAGATGAATTTCGTCATCTTTTCTATCGGATAAAAAAATTTTTTTTTTTAAAAAACGTTTTAAAATGGTATGCCATATAGCTTCTTGAATTTGTTAAGATATAGTCTAACGTATTTTCCATCTGTATCTCTAGCGTTTACATAAGCATAGCCCGCCTTAGTAAAACATACTTGTAATTTTCTATAGTTTACGCCGGTATAAAAGTAGAAAGAGTCTTGTTCTTCGCTATAGTAGTAAAACTCCAACGTATGCTTACCATAGTCTGTAATTTCAATTGCTTCGTCTTCTAGTTTGTCGACAAATTCGAATACAATATCTCCAATTTTGCCTATGTTCTTATTGTTTTCAGAACAAGTGACCCAGCGTAAGTTTTCAAGTCTATTGTCATTTCTTATATGGTTTATATGGTCTACAAAAGGTAGATTGTTAGAGTTCGGTATAAAATGAGTTGCAATGACAATATGTTTAAAATAGTTTTTTCCACCCATCTTCATAAGAGCATATCCGTCATTTCGCTCCCATTCGCTTAAAACTCTTTTTGTCTTTTTGTTTCTGACTTCAAATGACTCACAACAGTGAATTTCATATTTCTCATCTAACAAACAAGTTTCCCAACGGTCTTCTCCAACAAACTCAGCGTACATTTCAAATAAAATAAAAATATATATTTTTTTTAAATTTACTCAGAAAAATTTTTCTTTGTATATACGCCGTTCTGTATGTCTAAAAGATTTTTGACATTTGCCAAGAATGTACGTTTAGAAGCTGCCATATAACCATACTCTTGACAATATTGTTTATATGAATCGTACAATGACCTTTCATCTAAACACTCAAAGTTAGTCTCATCTATAAACAGTTCATATACACTCTTGTTTGCTTCTAACAATGTTTGTCTTTCTTCGGTATGTGGAATTTGTCTTGGATTGAACTTTGAAATATCTAATGTCATAAAATATGAGAACAAGTGGTTGTAAAAGTTAGGTGTCAAAGTTTCTGCTAAGTCGTCAAAATATTCTGTATCTTGCATATGAGAATCTGACGTTCTGACAACTACATATCTTCTGTCAGAACTTTCTAACTTCATCGGAACGGCGTTGTTTGAAACCATAATGAAATTTGCAACATTTTCACAAACTCTTTGGTCTTTATATTTTCTTTCAACAACTCCAACTTTGTCTGTTATAAGACTCTTCAAAGCATCCGAGTTCAAAACTTTTGTTGTATCTATACTTTGAAGTTCGTTACATACTATAAGTTTCATATTCTCTATTGAAGAGTTAAATTTACCGCAGATGTTTTCTAAGTTTGTCATATTAGGGTTCGAATAGCCCTCTAACAGTTTGCACAAAATATCTGTAAAGAAAGTATTCTTACCTGTTCCTTGTTTTCCAATTATAATGAGAGCAGTTTCATTTTTAGCACTTGGATGTTGTAAGATGTTTGCAAACCAACATAAGATATACTCATAGACTCTTTCGTTTCCATTGCATATAATTTCTTTGACATGGTCTAACCAAGCTTCTATAATATTTTCTTTCCATTCTACTTGTTCGTATTTATATCCAGTGAAGATAGAATAGAAGTTTGGAGAAGGTGTATAGAACTTTATACCTCGAACTGAAAAATCTTCAAGTTTTGACAATAAGATATCCCAAGCATCTAACATCTTCATGCCAACTTGTACGACTTTTATTTTCTTAAGTTTCTGTCTACATTCTTGTTCTGACACTATTGTCGCTCTTGGTTTGTTAAAGACAACATCCCATTCTTTCATGACATAACATTCTGGGGCAGAGTCGACATAAATGACTAAACGTTTCAAATTCTCGACTGCTTTGTTATAGTCTCTAAATGGACACATATTTCTGAATGCTTGGAAGTCATAAAAATCTGAAACATCTATTCTGTACATTTTTATAAAAATAAAAAAAAATATTTTTTTTATTCTTGAGCTATTTGTTGCATTTGTTGTTCTTGAGCTATTTGTTGTTCTTGAGCTATTTGTTGTTGAAGTTGTTCTTGTAATACAATACTTTCACCAGTTGCATCTTCCAATTCGAAACTTTCTGCCGTCATTGACAAATACATAGGACATAAAAGTTTTACAGGAACAAAGTTTGCGTCAACTAAGGTTAAGTTTATGTTTGCTAAAGTGTTTGAGTTTACTAAAGCTGAAAACTCTGCATTCGAATGAACAATAGGCAAACCAGCAGAGAAAGTGTTGTTTATACGCATGAGTATCTTTTGGTCATAGTAGTTTCTGTCGACATTCGAATAACACTTTGAACCTAAGTTTGAAACAATATATAAAATAGGTGTACTTAAAGTCAATGGAACAGACAAACCTTGTATGACACCTTTTCCTGTTATAGGAAACTGTTGGTAGTAAAAACCAGATATAAGTTTTGTATTATAGCTCATATCGTTTATAGTAAACTCAGTCGGACATCCAAACATAATGAAACCTGCTCTAGTTGCAGCACATGTTACATCCGTCCTTAAAGTATTAAATAAGTCAACAAAACCTGTTGGTGGTATATCTGAGTAAGTATCTTCAAAGAAGTATTTTTTACCATTCACAACAACAAAGTCTTCTGGTGTCAAAAGAGCAAAACAGGCTTTAGTCGTCATTGTGTTTAAAGTTAGTTTACAATATCGTCCTTGAGGACTTTGTAAGTTTGTTGTTATAGAATTATATGACTCAGGGTTTTTAGTCGTAATAGTATAAACCACTATGTCTTCTGCCATTTACTTAGCAAGTAAATTTTAATGAAATGTTGTGGTCGTCAAATATTTTTATGACGTCTGGGAAACTATATTTTAAGTTCAACGTTTCACCTCCTTTCATAACGTATATCTTGTCAATGACATTATATGAAACACCACAGCAACTAACGTCGGGTTCTATTTCTTTGATGTTTATATCGTCTGCCTCTGTCAAAAGTTTCAATAGTTCTTTCAAAATTTCATGAGGTGCGATGACATATGAGTTCACTTTTACAGGGTTGTGTTCGACCAAGTTTAACATTATACCTAAAGCTTGACAAATCTTCTCCTGAGTTTTAAGTTTGTCTTTAAGTTGTTGGTAGTCGTTTCGAATATCTGCAACAGAACTTAAGTCTCTGCTAACTTCAGGATATGTTGGTTGTTCTTTTACAGGAACTATTGTTATACCATCTTCGTCTTCGTATGGTTTCCCCACTTCAACATCTCTTTCTTTGACATTGACAACAACACTTTGACTGTTTGTTTGAGTTGGTGAATTTAACTTCACATCTGCCATCGCCATTAAACCTTTTGAAACACTTACGCTTCTATTTTTCGGAAATGACATTTTACTTAGAATAAAAAGATGGACGTATTTGAGTATCTCTTCGAATTGAAGCAAAACAAAGTTTACACACACAAACAATACAAATACACTGATAGAATAGTTCTTTACACAAACAATGGAAAATGTTATAGAATAGCAGTCTTTGCTGAACCAAAATATTTTCATAAAGCAAAGAAAGTTGGTATAACCGAGATGGTGAAAGTTCTTGAAGCAGACAAAAATATAACAACAAAACTTACAGATATTTCTAAAGGTAAGTTTATAATACAATTTTATGTCAAAACTGGCGTACTGTCAATATTTGACGGAGAGAAGTCAGTTCAAGAACAACTTACTGACCTGCTGCCAAAATCTGCTCGATGGAAGCTGTCGTTATGCCAATCTGAGGAGCCCCAGCAGGTTTCATCGAACGAATCTTCAAAAGAGCATCTTCTGTGAAAAGTGCTATTGGTTTTGTAAACTTCTTTGCTTTCAATTCATCTGGACCGTCTCTGTCACCAGTATATTGTATTTGAACTGTACCAACAGTTGAAATACCACCCATAAAGTCTTCTGAGTCAGCAAATGGAATGCCAAGCCAAAAGTTTGAACGGTCTCCATTTGTATATTGAGTTTTTTGAGCTCCTGTATGGGTCCATACTTTCACATATGGCATAATAGAACTTTGCATTTCAGGGTTAATGGTTGTTGTGAAGTTGTTGTTAAAGTTCATAGCATCTAATGTCAAGTTGTATGACCTCATATCCTCAACTGTAGAATATTCTTCTCTTGGATAATATTTGCCATCTATGTTTATATGATATTTAATACCAGGGTTGTAGAAACAAGAATAGTCATTTATAGTTCGTCTGAACAGTACAAACATAGTATCTGCATGTTTCATTGCAGTTGTTAAAGCAATATCTGTTCTTGCACCTGGGTCAGCACTTTGGTTTCCAACTTCACCTGCAAAGTCTTTGACAGATATTTGGTGTATAGGGAACATAAGTGGAACTGCAATATATTTGGCAGCTAAAGCATTTGAATATCTGGGTCCAACATATAGACTGCAAGTCTGCTTTCTATTCTCTTGCATTCAAATTTTTCGCATGTGAACTTAACTGGGTCCCAAGCATCTCCAGCAGCATTGAAATAATAGTTTACTTCAGTGTTGAGGTTTGAGAAACCAAAGTCTAAGTCAACTTGTTTTTGCAAAAGTCGGCGAATGACATTTTATTTGTTCCCACTACTTCTGTAAGAGTGAATGGGTCTTGTGTTGGTGCAATGACTAAGTTATTTTTGCTTGGAGTAAGTTCGATAGAAATTTTTCCTGCCCAGTTTGGCAAGTATCTTAAAAACCTGAAGATGAGGAAAGATGACAAAGGAACTCTAAGTTTCAGTTTTACTTTGGTTACTGCTGCTGCAGTTTGTCCAGAAAGGTTAACATAAACTCCTGGAACGTTAGGTCAAGTCTTCTTATTTTCTCAATAGTTGCATACTGGTCTGTTTGTTCTCTAGCTTGTGGTTGTACTGAGTTTCTCAAAGCGAACCATTCATAGTTTGCCCATGTTACTGTTGAACTAAGTCAGAGTTAGAATATATCTTATATCCCATGAAAACTTCTGGAGCATATTGGTATCCGACATAGAAAATTCCATTGCAACCTTTCTTGTCAGACAACTTGGCAGAAGGTTTTATTTCAATGTCTTGTTCCACGTATAAGAAAGAGTTGTCAATAGAAATTATATGAAACCTGTCGCAAGCAATATCTACTGTTGTTGAAGAACCTTCTCCAAACTCACCTACGTTTCCATAAGAAACAGCAGTTGTATATTCGTAAGTTCCAGGAACTATTTCTGACCTTCTAATGGCATTGTCGCATTCGTTATACCATTCGGAAACATTTCCATTCATAGCATCCAAAACTGTTGGCGTTATATTCTGAGCGGCGTACATTTCATATGAGTAAAAATATAGAATAGTTGGATTTATATGTCATAATAGAACCCACTCCGACCAAGCTTTACTTTCTTCCTGACTGAGTTTTTAACTCTTCTTTTTCCTTCATTGCCCTCTGCTTGAAGTTGTTGCATCTTTGCATTATGTTCATCTAGTATGTTGCAAATTTCCCATGTCCTTTTTGCCTTTTGGCTCTGGTCGCCCATCTCAGGTAACCTATATCCTAGAAAGAGTTTGTCATAGTCTGTATTTGAGTCTTCGCGTATTGTTTGCATGACTCTTTCCTGAGTTTCCGGTTCAAGCTCTTCAAACAGGCCTGTCCATATGGAATATGCTCGTTTCCAAATATATGTTTTTGTAGCCATTCTGGTTTTCTTTCCATGTTACCAACTATATCTTTTGTGAATGGGAAAGCTTTTACCCAATCTTTCAGTCTTGCGTCGTTTATTTCTGTAGTTGGTTTTATTTTGTCAAGGAACATGTTTTTCAATACTAACATTTCATTTGGTACTGTCAATTTGAGTTTTCTTAAATATTCATCCCTTCTCAGTTCATTGTCTGCAAAGTAAGTTTTTATGACATTTTGCAAACTTTCATTTGCAAGGTCATGTACAATAGGTTCTCTTCCTTCTCTCTCCCTAACTGTCTTTCTAAACTCTTCACCAAATATACCATCTCTATGGTTCTGTGTAGTTCTTTGAGATAAATGTTCTAGAACGTCAGGTGTTAATTTCCATCAGCCATGTTCATTTCATACTGGTCCAAAATATCTGCATGTTTCATATCTTTCAATGGCATTAAAGCCGCGCTGAAAATACCAGCTACATCTGGTTCACCATTCACTTCCATTGCGTCTACAACTTCTTGAATTGAGGTTGTAAGTTATGAACCACCTATCTGGATTAGCTTTATGAACCCCATCTCATTGTAGTTCCATCGTCTGCAGAAACAAAAGTAGGTTTGTTTCCATCTTGGTTAGGTTCTGAATGAACTTTAAACAATGTTTCATTTCTATATGTTTCTTGAAATTTAACCTTTTATTTTCACCGAGTTCATCCGAAGATTGAACGTTAAATGCTCGTAAGTAAAAAGGGTTGTTGTATTTGTGTACATTTTTTTTCAGTTCTTCCATTCTATGCTGGATATTTCATCTGATGTTGGAGTCTTTTGTATGTCGGCAAACATTTTTCGATATTCTTCTACTATGTCAGCCGAATTTTTTTTAGACTCTTGGAAATATTCCATATTCTCCGCATACTCTTGTTGAGGGTCAAGATTTTTCGGCTGTTCCAAATCTTCATCTAGTTCTGTGAAGTTAGTTTCCAAAGGAAGGACTTGTTCGTTTCCTTCAGGCTCTTCTAGCTGTTGTTGCTGAACTATTTCTTCCATGTCTGGTTGTATCTGAACTTCTTCCTGTGGAGTTTCTTGTACCTCATCTGCTGGCATTTCATATATTCCGAGACCGTTTTCAACAAGTTCCCTATTTAAGTCATCCGCATTCATAACCCTTTCTTCTTTCGTTCCTTCTCTATTTTTTACGCGTTTCATGAAGATAGTTGAATTGTCATTTATCTCTGACACCAAATATCTCGGAGTAAATTCATCCATGTCATTTGGATGATATGCTATTAAATCATATCCCTTAGCGAGCTTGTATTTTCCAGGTTTGAGATTATATCCGTTTTGGTGCTGAGCCATAAAGCTAAATAGGTTCGGGTCAGTATTTCCATCCTTGAACTTTCGAATAGCTTCTTTATATCTGTCACTAAAGTCAATAGTATCTGGGTAACCATACTCTTCCTTCAGCATTTTTAAGAATTCTTGGTTTCCTTGTTCTCTACTTCTTTTATGTCCTTGCTCTGTTTGTGGTTGTTGTTGTGCAGGGTTTTGAACTGTTGGTTGCTGTGCTGGTTGTTGTGTTGGTTGTTGTGCAGGGTTTTGAACTGTTGGTTGCTGTGCTGGTTGTTGTGTTGGTTGTTGTGCTGGTTGTGGAGGTGGTTGTTGTGCTGGTTGTTGTGCTGGTTGTGGAGGTGGTTGTTGTGCTGGTTGTTGTGCATGCCTGTGTCTGTGTCCATGTGACGATGTAAATGTTCTAGGTAGTCCTGGTGCAGGTGCTTCTCTTGGAGGGTTTGGTGGTATATAAGTTCCACCAGCTGGCACATATGTTCCATCTGCAGCGTAATGTCCTACCTGACTTTTCGTTTTTAAGAAAGCATTTACTAGGTCTGTTTTGGTCTGTTGTAACTCTTTTTCTTGACTTTTCACAACAGTTGCTCTAACGGCGTCATAGGCACTTTGAACTGCCTGTCTCGTTGCTGCATCTGTTATTTTCGTCATATTTTGTGCTACTTCTTTTAACTCTTTGTCGAAACCTTCAGACTTCAGTTTCTTTCCAGATGAGAAGTCGTTCACTTGTTTCACCTTACTATGAAGAGCTTCGAAGGCGTTCTTAAAGTCAGCATTTGTTAAAGCTTCATTTGAACTGTCTTCATCCGCTTGTATTTTTGTCCTTATTGACCCTATAAGCTGGGCTGCTTTAGCGTTGGCTTGGGCATCTAACCAGTCATTGTTAGCTTTTATATATTCTGCACTTTTCATTGCCTTTTGCATAGCCGCGTCGTTATTTTTACTTTCTTGTGCTAAGTTTTCATACTGTACGGTTTGGTTTTGCAACTGTAAAAGTTTTTCTGCCTTTACATTTGCTTCAACTTCTTTTTTATACTCATCGCTATCCATATATGTCTTCAGGGCTTTTTGCTTTATCTCTTCATCTTTCAGTACTTTATATCGAGTAGTATGGTTTTTCAAATTTATAACATCTTGTTCCATTTTTGCTACTTCTGCTGCTTTTTCTGACACTTTTTTCGCATATTCCTCTGTACTTAGTTCTTTCAGTTGTTCTTCTTTCTTCTTTTTCTCTACGTTTAACTCATTGAGTTTCTTTGTGTGTCTGTCATATTCTAGTTTCTTTTCGTTTTCACTTATTTGCTTCTGTATGTCTATGTTTGACTTTTTGACATCTGTTATTTGATTTTTGAGTGAACTCAAATTCATTTGACTTTGAGGGTTATATGCTGTTCCGTCTGCAGCTCCACCATAGCCTGCCATTTTCGCTAAAAGTGCCGCTCTTAAACCTCCACTCTGTGCACCAAGAACTCGGTTTAAAAGCATAGGATTGCTTGACATTTGTTGCAACATAGTGGGGTCATTCAGCATTTGTTGTTGCAACTGTTGTTGTGGTGTCAGTTTTACTATTGGATGTTTCAATGCTCTCTTCCTCTTACGTATATTCTTACGTAGCTTACGTGGCATTTTAAGTGAAGTTAAAAAGCGGTTTTTGACAGATGTTTTGTTGTGACTTCTTCGTAAAGACTTTGTTGAGATTTCTTCATAAATGTTTTGTCAAGACTTCTTCATAAAGACTTTGTTGAGATTTCTTCGTAAAGACTTTGTTAAGACTTCTTCATCGTAATGAGTGTAAATGACCCAAAAATATATTTTATGTTAGAATGTTAGATCTAACATGTTTTCTAACATGTTTTCTAACATGGTCTAAAACATACAAAACTCATGAAATTTCATACGGAATTCAATAAAAATATATTTTATGTTAGAATGTTAGATCTAACATGTTTTCTAACATGTTTTCTAACATGGTCTAAAACATACAAAACTCATGAAATTTCATACGGAATTCAATAAAAATAATGTTTATGTTAGAATGTTAGATCTAACATGTTTTCTAACATGTTTTCTAACATGGTCTAAAACATACAAAACTCATGAAATTTCATACGGAATTCAATAAAAATAATGTTTATGTTAGAATGTTAGATCTAACATGTTTTCTAACATGTTTTCTACCCTCTTGAATTTTCATGATTTCATCGTAAATGTTTTGTCAAGACTTCTTCGTAAAGACTTTGTTGAGATTTCTTCGTAAAGTTCTTCATCGTAAAGACTTTGTAAAGTCTTTCTCATGAACTTTCTTGTCAATGTTTTGTTGAGACTTTGTAAAGTTCTTCATCGTAAAGACTTTGTAAAGAAAGTTCATGAAAATTCATGAGGTTAGAAAAGAGGTTAGAAAAGAGGTTAGATCTAACATTCTAACATAAACATTATTTTTGTCTGATTTTACGAAGAAGTCTTGACAAAACATTTACGATGAAGAAGTCTTGACAAAACATTTACGAAGAAGTCTTGACAAAACATTTACGATGAAGAAGTCTTGACAAAACATTTACGAAGAAGTCTTGACAAAACATTTACGATGAAGAAGTCTTGACAAAACATTTACGATGAAATCATGAGTTTTCTACGATGTTAGAAAACATGTTAGAAAACGTGTTAGATCTAACATTCTAACATAAACATTATTTTTGTCTGATTTTACGAAGAAGTCTTGACAAAACATTTACGATGAAGAAGTCTTGACAAAACATTTACGAAGAAGTCTTGACAAAACATTTACGATGAAGAAGTCTTGACAAAACATTTACGATGAAATCATGAGTTTTCTACGATGTTAGAAAACATGTTAGAAAACGTGTTAGATCTAACATTCTAACATAAACATTATTTTTGTCTGATTTTACGAAGAAGTCTTGACAAAACATTTACGATGAAGAAGTCTTGACAAAACATTTACGAAGAAGTCTTGACAAAACATTTACGATGAAGAAGTCTTGACAAAACATTTACGAAGAAGTCTTGACAAAACATTTACGATGAAGAAGTCTTGACAAAACATTTACGATGAAATCATGAGTTTTCTACGATGTTAGAAAACATGTTAGAAAACGTGTTAGATCTAACATTCTAACATAAACATTATTTTTGTCTGATTTTACGAAGAAGTCTTGACAAAACATTTACGATGAAGAAGTCTTGACAAAACATTTACGAAGAAGTCTTGACAAAACATTTACGATGAAGAAGTCTTGACAAAACATTTACGATGAAATCATGAGTTTTCTACGATGTTAGAAAACATGTTAGAAAACGTGTTAGATCTAACATTCTAACATAAACATTATTTTTGTCTGATTTTACGAAGAAGTCTTGACAAAACATTTACGAAGAAGTCTTGACAAAACATTTACGATGAAGAAGTCTTGACAAAACATTTACGATGAAGAAGTCTTGACAAAACATTTACGATGAAGAAGTCTTGACAAAACATTTACGATGAAGAAGTCTTGACAAAACATGAAAACATATATAATTTGTGAAAAGCTCCTGGAAGACCTCCGAATAAAAACTTCATTTATGTGGGCTAGAAGGCACGAAGTGCCTGGAAGCTCACCCCAAGAAAAAAAAACTTCATTATACTCATTCATCCTCAGGGCTAGAAGGCACGAAGTGCCTGGAAGCCCCACTCCCTTTTTTTTTTTTTTTTTTTTTTTTTTTGATATTTCTAAAATCAGATATGACAAATCATAGTAACATACTACCAATGCAGTATATTTATAATTTATACATTTTTGACGAAAATTACAAAAAATAAATCAATCGCGTTATATGTATTCTGATACAATTTTATAGTTAAAGTTATTTATTTCCTTCATAACTCAAAATGAATAAAATGAACAAGTTGTAAAGTAGAAGATTATCATACTCTCACTACTACAGACATTAATATTAATATTGATAATAGAATTAAGAAATCCAGATGTAACATGCGCAGAAAAATAAAAATGATAATTTTACTTTGAATAAATAAATGGGCATGAAAACACTGAAATGTGAAGTTTAATTGGATGTGGATCTACAGTTTCCTCATTAGGGAGAACAACATATGAACATTTAACTGGCTCAAAGTCATCAGCTGTCATAATATGAGTGTAAAAAATAGTGGTATTTGTCGCGATTATGGTTGATATGAAAGTTGGAGGTTTGGGAGTAATGATTGGCACTGGTGTTCGCATTGGTGTTCGCCTAGGAGGGTCTATTCCCATCAATTCTTTAATTGACAATATTTTTTTATCAACATCTAGAATCTCTTCTTCTTCTGTCGTTGTTGATACTATTGTTGATAATGTCAAAATCCTAAAAGGGTTATGCAAGCCACATATACTTTCGCCTGATTTATAAGTTCTTTTGATATGAACTGTTGTTTCATCATAGCTATTTGTGTTATCAATAAAACAAAATTCGAGTGTAATATTATCAGTTTCAGAAATGGTTCGGAAATAATAAGGTAATTCATTCATAAAAAAGCAACTTTGTTGAATAAAAATACTTGTTGATTGACAATTAATCAGTTCAGATTCAGATGAAGGACCTCCATTGTTTATATAATTGCATTCATAAATTTTATTACCATTTTTTGAATTGCAGTATTTAATTAATGCAGAATCTAGTCCGGGATTTGATGAATTTAAAAAATATGAATATGATATTTCGGATTCTGTACTAGGATTTCGTACATCATAAAGAGATCTATCTTCAGCCTTACAATAACTGACATTTGAATATTTAATTTTAATTTCCCCATAATTCATTGAAATTGTATTTTTTCCGCCACTAATTTTTCCACAAAGAGAAATCGAACATCTTTCAATTCTATTTTTTGATTTAGAATTCTGTGTAACTGCGGTAAAGCTATGAATTCCACTTTTTGAAACTTTGGAGGCACGACAACAAACACGGCATTGAACACATTGACCTTCATTTGCAAAGTAAATTGAACCGCCATTTGCAATAGAAAAGTTGGTTTGGTCATTTGAACATTTATAAAATAATGAATCTTCAATTAGACATTTTGTTTGGTTATTTCTGACATCAAATCTGATTGCACCATCTTTTTGTAATTTAATAAAGTTCCCATACGTGATGTAACTTTTATATCCATCAACACCATTAATAGATTCATTAGACCTTGCAATATTAGCATCATATGACGAATCGTAAAAAGACCACCAAGATCGGTGCAGAAATAATACGTTCGTGCTTATAGATTTAAATTAAAATCATCATAATTACGATTATTTTAACATTCAATTTTTTTGTGATACCAAATCAACAAAAATTTTGAATTAAAGATTTCCGATCGAATCGTATTTTTATATTGCTTTTGATTTATAATAAGTTATTTACAGTAATATCAAATAAATCGGGACTACCTTAAATTTTGATAAATGCCCCTAAATAAAAAATCGGATCAAAATTATTTATGTCACTTGTTAAATATAAATAAGAATAGACACTTAATGTGATATAAGATCCTTGGATGCTTTTATAAATCAAATTTCAAGGCAAATAATTATGGATCGCCTGATATATGTCAAAGAACACGAACAGGTTTTTCTTGCTTTAAGTAAGTATGATTCAATCAATAATTTTGCATTCTTAAATCTTGCAAGAATTAACAAAATATCATAGTAGTATATGTTGAAGGGTTGTGTGACTTTTTTTGTTACATCTATATATAGATGATGCATTGAAATATATTTATTTATAAATCATTAAAAAATTAACATTAATTTTAAAATAATTTATTTTTTTATCTTTTATAAAAGAAGCTATATATAGATGATGTCAGATATTCCGCGATTAATTAAACATTGTTTAAATCCTGAATGGGTTAAACTTCAATTTAAAAATGAAGATTGTGAATTATTAAATGAATATGAAAGCCAAAATAAGCTAATGATTATTTGAATTTATGAAATCAATTATTTGATTCATTCTTTCTTCAATCTCTTCTATTCTTTTTGTTAAATCATCAATTTTCATTAATGAGGTGATTCTTGATTGAGGAATAGATTTCAAACTAACCACCCCTTTTATTTTTGAAATTTTGAATCCATCAACTTTAAACATTTTATTCAATTTACACGTTGTCAATTCTTCAAATAATTTTTTATTAGCATAATAGTCATTAAATTCTTCAACAGATGAAAAAATTTTTATTTCAGTAATTGGTTTAACAACGTTTATTTTTTGTTGAACATCTTTACTTTCATTAATTTCCTCCTCCTCTGTTTCATTTATTTTTAAAATTGGTTTCATTTATCATTAAATAAAAATTAGAATATAAGTGATGAAATATATTTTTTAATTAATATTAAATCAGAAATGGCGGCAGGATTCTTTAAAAAATTATGGGAAGGAATTAAGAAAGCTGCGGGTTGGGTTCATAAAAAGATTATTAAACCCATTGCAAACTTTTTGGCACCAGTAGCGAAAACGGCAGGAACTATCATAGGTGGAGTATTAGGTACTAAAGCAGGTAATCCGGCGATGGGAGCACAAGCAGGTAACGCAATTGGTGGAATAGCTGAAGGAATACTTAATAAAATAGGAGGTGGATAGTGGAAAAATAAATATGAGATCCTATGGATCATCTCACCGCTTAGCGGCTTAAAATTATTTTTATCTTAGTATCGGTTGTAGTCTTTGATAAACTTTTTCTCCTTTATTTAAAATTTCTCTTATTGGGGCAGCTTTTGGTGTTATTGATTCAGCAACGTCACTAATTGCTTCTTTATTCTTAATATATCCAATTTGCCCCCTTCTTCAATGTTTCCCAAACTTTACTCGCTCCTCTTTTTACTCTATCCCACAGTTTCTTAAATATACCTGCAGCCATAGTTGATTATTTCATTAAAATTAAAAATTCATTTTCATCTTTTAATTTTGATTTTTTATTTATTAATAAATGACGACTAACTATTTGGTGCCAAACACTAAACTGATTAATGGAAATGTGTTTCATTCATTCGAAAAGATAAATGAAATATTCGCAAAGAATGATGGTAGAAGATATTATAGAGAACTTGAAAGTTCATGCTATGACTCTGATGCTCCATATTTTGATGATAAACAAACTCATTTAAGAATTACAAATCCGGCTCATGATGTGAATCAATTAGGTGACACATATATTAAACGCAAAGTTAAAGCAACTCTAGTTTCAAATAAAGCTTTCACATGTGATGCCGCTTTTAAATGCATGCGTTTATTCGTTGGTTACAAATCATCAAATCAAAACTTTAAACAATTAGAAGTAGAAACCGAAAGAGGTGATGTCGGTTATCTTCAGATGGATTGCGCCCGTGAATCTTTCGCATTTGCAACATATAAACCAAATCAGAAAGGAAAGTTAAAAAGTTTGTTCATTCGTTATATAATAATGTTCAAAATATGATAACTCAGTATGTGGTAAATATATTGACCCCTCAGAAGTTTTCAAGAGAGCAAATGAAGAAGTTGATGTCACTTTTGATATGATTATTCCGGTAAATGATTTGTTAGCATTTCAGGCGTTCGATGATTATCCTAAATCATTTGGTGATATCATTCTTAAATATTATGTTTTCAGGGATACTTTAGTATTTTGTCAGGTTGACCCGTTAAGAGTTGCTGATTTACAAAATTACGTTTATGAAAAGATAACTGATGAAAATTATGAAAAGATTATGAATCATGTTTATAAATATGATCGCAAATTCCAACAAATCGGACTTCCTGCCAAATTAATTACAAGCTTAGCCGCTACATCTGCTGACGCAACAGTTGATGACGTTATTATTTCATGCACAAAGATGGAAGTTTTAGAGGATAAATGTATTACACCAGGATACGGTTTAATTGAAGAATCAGTTAAAGCAATACCACGTTTATTTAGTAAGGAAGATCCATTCATGATTCCAGCTCAACATATTGACGTTCGTTCACTAAATGGAGGTTGCATCACTCCTGAAGGTATTAGCTCAGATTTCTCATACGCTCTTTATAACGTTACAGATGTTGTGTTAACATTTCCAAAGAATGCAATGCAAAGAACGGTTTTAGAAAATCCAATGCTTCGAGGTCTTCAGGTCACTATAGATTCCAGAAACTTCCCCGATCAAGCGATGACCACAGTGGGTGACATATTCTTTACACGTATGCTTCAAGCTTCTGATTTAGATGGAGTGAATGAATGCACAGAAGAATACGAGGACTCTTTAACTAGACCACTGAATGATGATAATGGCACGCCATTAGCTAGAACATGGAAAGACCAAACTTCATTCTTATGCACTATTCCAGTTCAACGTGATGGAGCGGGTATATTCTTTGATGGATTAGAAACTTTCAACTCACAAGTTACAGTACAAGTGAAAGCTTATCCAATCATTCAGGGTGAAAATGACACTTACTGTTCAAAGGTGACAAATCATCCTCAGGTTTGGTTTACTAGGACTACATATTGGACATGGACACCGGACGAAGGTTTGAAATATCATCCAACAGGTACACCACCACAGTATAGAAGTTCATATGATGAAATATTGATGAATAGAAATGTTTAAAATTATAAATTTATTTTTGATTAAATGGATTTAAATTCATCCACCCCTTATGAAGAATTAGCGGGAGTATATAATACATACGTAGATGATATGATTAATGAAGCATTGAGTGATAATAGAAATGCTCTATCTAAGGAAAAATTAATGAAAATTCCATATTCTGAATGTTATTTAAATTCAATCACTGCAGCAATTGGTAAACAGAATAAGGGTAAAACATTAACGATATTAAAACAAATTATCATTATTGCTAACACTTCCCCTATTCACATGTGTTAATTTATATCAACCGTTCAGGTTCACCTTCAGATGATACATTTAAATCTTTAAAGCATTTAATCAAAATTCCAATTATTTATTTATCACAAGAAGAAGCAGAAGATTATTTAAAAAACTTTTTAATGTATAAAGAATTATATAATACAATCAAGAAGCAAGGATTAGAGGATAAAATTATTGATAAACAACGGGTGAATTATTTGAAACACTTTCTATTTCAAATTTTGATAGAGAATTTTTGCATTCACTCATTTTTCTAGATGATGCAGTGAAATCAAAACTAATAACAAATGAGAAATCATATTTTAATCAGTTATTAACTCAATGTCGACACATTCAGTGTTCATTCTTTATGGCTGTTCAATATTTCAAAGCATTAAGCACAAACATTAAATCAAATCTATCAACACTTTTCATTTTCAGTGGGTTTAGTCGTCAACAGTTGAACGTTATGCTTTATCAAGTGAATTTACCAATGAGCATTAATGAACTTTACACACAATATCAGCAATTAGGTGAACATGGAAAAATAATAGTTGATTTAAATAAAGGAAGTGTTAAATTTGATTAACTTTTTATAATTAATTTTTATTTTTTATTTATAATTAAACATGACAGAAATGGCAAATCTT